AGAGGGGAGGGCTCGCCCCCAGCCACCTCCCCTACTTCCCATCCCCTACCTCCACCTAGACAGTGGGTGACCACAGTGCCTCTTTCAAGATGTGGGTGCTTCTGTGCCTCCTTGGGGCCTCTGGTCCTCCGCTCTGGGGCCCCTCCTGCCTTCACTTCCTGCTTTTCCCTGCAGCCATTGCAATGAAGCATTTCTACCTGGGACCTGGCACTGTTATGGATTCCCTGTTCTTCACAACTGACTGTAGCCCAGACACAACGTGGGGGTGGGGGGCGGCGGGGGGAGGCTTGGGGGTAGGGGGATTGTGATTTCACAACTAACATCCAAAGAAAGCTTCAAAACGAATGTAGACATCTCAGGTCCCTCAAGATAGACCCCCCCAGCAAAGCATCTTAAAGCAGGTCTCCACTCGCCCCACTCTCCGAGGACCTGTGGACAGCCGTGCAGTGACAACCTGTTTCCTCTCTCACCTGCCTGTCCCCCCCCCAATCCCCCAGCCCCGCTGCTTTTCCTCCCAGCCCTCCCTGCCCCCACTCCCAACTGCTGTCTCCTCCTGGTTTCATTTTTCCTTCTGGAAACACCTTCTTTCCTTTCTCATCATTGTTTCTGAAAGCTGGTTCTATTTGAATAAATGTTTAAATAAACTAGAACACATGAAACACCCAAACAAAACAACCCGGAAGTCAAGCAAACCACAAATGTGTGCTGTCTCACCCTGCAGGGTCAGGGAAGTTCTTGCTATTAAGTTGCAGGCTTCACCGCTTTAGTTAGATTGTTTCCTTTGTCAGAAGATAAAAGTGAGTCTTATCAAAGGGCAGCGGATGTCAGACTTCATTGTGGCAAAAAAGTGTCACCTCAAAAACTTAAGCTTGTTAAATTCACCCCTTTCTGGGCATCAGTCCTAGAGATTGCCATCGAGGGCCAGGGACCCTGGAATTTGCCTTTTAACAAGCTTCCTGGTGATTCTGAAGCTGCGGGCCATGGACCATGTCAGCAGGAAGGGGCCCCACGTCCAGCCATCTTGGAGGACCCCTCTCTGAACACCATCTTGTCAAATATATTTTACAGGGACCAAAGACCCCTCTCGTGGTGCAGCTTCCCACAGAGCAGGTCATGTGGGCCTTCTTGCAAACGGGAGATTCCAGAATCCAGGTCCGAGGATGCTGTTGGCCATCTCTAGGCTGGGCCGACAACCAGACCCCAAACTGTTTCAGTGAAAAACAGACTACATAGCCCTCTTTCAGCCTGCATTCCCAGTACGGCTCCTAGGGTGCCTACACTAGCCTTGAGGTCTTAAACCTGTGATAAGAACAGAAGGGACCTTTCTCGTGTTACCTTCAGGCAATCCTCAGTCACTGCAGAAGTTGGGAGTGCCGGGCCCTCAGAGCTGGGTTCGGAGCCTGCCCTGGGATAGGAGGAAGAGCTCTTCTTTGGCTCAGGTCTGCCCAGATGTTCCAAAGAGCTCAGAACCAGGGCCAGAGGATCCAGGGTAAACCACTCTGAGGACCCAGGGACAGATGGTTTTGATACCAGGCTCTGGCTATGCATATAAATCAGGGGTGGTCCAGATATGGAAATAACCAAATTTGCCCCCTGGCTTCTGGCCCAGGGCACTGGTATTTGTAGGCGCTGAGGGGTGGTCTGACTGCCTGTTAGGACCAATCATCTGCCTTACTTCTTAGGAGGATGTGCCTCTCCCAGGGGATACTCCTCCCCGCAGGATGCCGGTATGTGCTAGAACATCTCTGGTGTTTCCAGCTGGTGAGTATTCACATGTTCCCATTAGCCTGAACGCCCACCTTTCACCTGCAGCCAGAACCCTCCTGCCTGAGGGCAGAAGGACCAGGCTTTCACACCCCCAGGGCACTTCCGTGGGCCTAGCAATCAGTTCAAACCCTAGGCATGGGGTCCGCGCAGAGCCAGTCCCTCAGTCTGGGCCTTGAGAGCTGGGCATCACTGCAGCCCCGGGTCTGAGCCCACAGCCCCAGGGCCCGGCTATCTTCCTGGAGGGCTGCTGAGTCTAAAGGCTGGAAACCTTAGTGTTGTCCCTGGGAAACACGGACATGTCTGCCTCATCTCATTCCCGAGACTCTACAGCATTTAGAGGGCCAAACCGTCCCTCCACCTTGAACAAGTTCTGTCCCAGGGCAATGGGACGGATGAGTTCTGGTGGCAGTTGACATCCTGGACCTGCAGCCACCCCTTCCTGCTGACACTCAGGCCTTGTATCCAGGCCTGGGTCCCTGGCCTCCCTGCTGAGTCCCCCTGCTCGAGGGCCTCGTGCTGTCTTCCGGCCAATTGGCCTCCATGTCACATCTGGATCAACGGAGGAGAGGGTTCCCCCAGGGATGTCACCCGCTCTAAATAGTCAGATGCCAACGGTTGCTCGTGGGGCAAGGTGTCCCCAGTGCCAATGCATCTCCACTCTGGTCTTGTCCAACGGACATGCCTGTTGGCACACTGCCCAAAGGGATCCTCTGCTGGGAGGGTCCTTACTTTACTTTACTTTAGCTCTGGAGATGCAGGTGGCCCCCTTGAGATCAGGGGAAAAATGAGTAAGACAATGGCTTCTCGGATTTCGTTATCTCGTGTATCACTTCTCAGTGGTGTGGCTGTTAAAAGGAATAGGGTGTGTGTTTTCTTTCTTTCTTTTTTTTTTTCAGGAACAATGGCAGAAGGGAGAGCCTGGAATTCTGTAGCCCACACACCCAATTCCAGGAGGCGAGGAACTTAGGAGCATCTTTAGGAGGAAAGAAGCAGTCAGGCTTCTCAGACAAGGAAGGGGAGAGGCCAAGGCTCCCAGCAGGACTGACCAGGCCAGCTGGAGGCAGAGCTCCCCAGCCACCCGCAGGATGGGAGCTTGCTTGCTGGGCCTGGCTCTGCCAGAGCGTGGAGAGCATCTGAGAAAAGGACTCAGGCCAGATCCTGATTGCCAGTTAAGTCTACCTCCCCCAAGGGCAGGTGTACTTGACCAGGAGACCATGCCTTCCCAGCTCCTAAGAATGAATTTTCCAAGGTTGAATTTCTTTTCCTTTTTTTTTTTTTTTAAGTAAGCTCCACGCTGGGTGTGGAGCCCAACACAGGGCTTGAACTCATGACCCTGAGATCAAGACCTGAGCTGAGATCAAGAGTCAGACACTTAACCGACTGAGCCACCCAGGTGTCCCTCCAAGGTTGAATTTCTAGTATCAGCTGGAGGGGGGAGCATATTCTTTTTTTTTTTTTTTTTTTTTTTAAGATTTTATTTATTTATTTGAGAGAGAGAGAATGAGAGAGAGAGAGAGCAGGAGAGGGGGGAGGGTCAGAGGGAGAAGCAGACTCCCTGCCGAGCAGGGAGCCTGATGTGGGACTCGATCCTGGGACTCCAGGATCATGACCTGAGCCGAAGGCAGTCGCTTAACCAACTGAGCCACCCAGGCGCCCAGGGGGGAGCATATTCTTACATATAATTTCTCTAGTCACTCCCAATAGAAAGCTTTTCCGTGTTTCATTTTTGTAGCCTCAGCTCTGCCCAGCTTCAGGGGACCACTTTAGAGTCATTTATAACCTCTGGTGTCATAGCTTGTGGGGGGGAGCAGTCCTGGGCTGACCTGGGCTCTCAGTGGCCCTGGCCAGCAGGGGAGGGGAAGAATGGAACCAAGCTGGACCAGGAAGGGAGAAACAGCCTGGGGGCAGAACTAGAAGGGGTCCCTGGGAGGAGGCAACTGGCCTGTGTGCAGGGGTGTCATGGACGCCAGAGGGTGGGCCTCGGAGCGGGAAGTCAAGAGAAGAGCAGGTGGGAGCCTACCTCCCGGAGGGACTGGGAGAGAATGAGGGTCAGCTGAGTGGACCAGAATTAACCAGACCCGGCTCTTACAGGTGGAAATAGTGTGGACACCAGAGGAGCAATAGGACAACAAAAGGGAGCCAGAGGGAGAGATGGCTCCTGGGATGGGGTCTTGGTTGTCATGGCAACTAAACTGATAGCTGTTGAAACTTTCAAAGGAATAAATGACTCTTTCAGTGTTGTTGGGTTTCTTTTTCCTGTTACAGAACAAGCCAGAGCTGTGCTAGGAGAAAGAGAGACGTGGTTCAGCTTGCCAGGGCCAGAATGGAAGAGAGGGTCACAAATGGATTCACAATCATTTAATACACAATAATCCTGGCCGCTGGTAAACACTGGGGGGGTGGGGAAGATCTTTTATCCTGATGCACTGACAGTGAGCTGGGAGGAGAGATCTGCACCGCAGGGACGGCCATCTCTACGCCCCCCCCCCCCCCATCTTCCCTTCCAGAACGACATCAGGAGCGGGAGTCTTTATGGTCCTGTTTGTCCCCTTCCCACATCGCAAAACAAATTCTATTTCTTTACCTGCTTCTCTTAAGTCAGGGTTCAAGCGGCCTCCACCCTTTCCTGGATCATAGGTGGTCAGTCCGCATCATAGTTCACCCTGCTGTGGAAACACTGGGGGACTCTCTCTCCATGGTCTGTTTATGAGTCTGTGTCACCAGGTACCAGAATGGAGGCTCCCACACACTCCGGCCCGAGTCCCTGGTGGGGGAGGCCAGCGGGGTCCCAAGGTGCCGCTCGCTTCTTGTGTTAGTCGGCCCGGGCTGCAGCAACAAAACCCCAGCTCGGGCAGCTTAGATGACAGGTATTTATTTCCCACAGCTCTGGAGGTTGGAAGTTCTGGATGGAGGTGTCAGCTGATTGATTCCCTGCGGGCGAGAGCTGGATCCTGGCTTGGAGGGGGCCTCCTTCTTGCTGCCTCCTCACCTGCCCCTTCCTCTGTACGCATGGGCAGAACCATCACGCGGGCTCTTCCTCTTTTTATAGGGACAATCATCCTATCTCATTAAGGCCTTATGCTTGTGACTTCATTTAACCGTTAACCCCTTCTTACAGGCCTTGTCTCCGAGTACGGGAGGTGCAAATTCAACATATGGATTCGTTGGGGGACACAAGTCAGTCCATAACACTCCTCCACTGACACTACATAAGAAGGAAAAAATCAGAATCACAGGTCAGGACAACTTAGTAGTAGCAGTAACTTTTTATTTTTGTCTTGAGAAAAGAAAAGTATTGTGGTAAGAAAAATTTGCTTGGTTAATAGAGAGCGATGAGCATTATTAAAATGATAAAAAAAAAATTGACCATAGAATTGCGATTGTTTTGAGTTAGTATATTTAAGTCTTAGACTAATGACCTCAGAAGAGGTGTGCTTCCCAGAACTTGTTTTTTCTTTTTTAAAAATGATAAATAGGGAGGCCAGAGAGTGGATAGCCAGCATATGGATAATAGATGTTCTTGAAAGAGAGCCCAGAACAAAAGGATCAGAAAGATTTAATGCAGCTGCTGAAAAAAGAACTGGATATGTATATTGAAAGGGCAGAGTGCCAGGCAAGATCAATGATAAGAATATTACACTGAATCCTGTCCTGTCAAAAATATATAACTATAGAGAGAACAAGGAAACCTGCTATGTGTCTACACACTAACAAAGAAACAGAATTCTGACTTCACGGGTGTAGGACGAAAATGCCCAAACCACAGTGGACCAAAGTCTAAGTTGATTTTGAAGGTGAGAAGTTGTGATAAAATACATACTGTAGCCCAACAGTGAATTTATGAAAACAAAGAAGACATTCAGAGCTGTGCAAAGGCTCAGAAAACATGTCACCTGTGTAATCTTCTTTTCAAATTACCTAAAGATACACTGACTGAAAGAAGGAGCAAAAAAAGAAGGAAGAAGTCACTGCAAGAAAAGACCAGCATTGATGTTGCTCTCATGAAGATAGGTTATCGTAGTTTCAACTTGTGCTTTTCAATTTAGTAGATATTTGAAGTAACAATTTATATAATGTAAAAATAACAAAATAATGGCTTATATAATATAATTGAATAAAATTAAAATAATTAATACAAGTAAAAGTATGCATTTAATAATGTTAATAAATAGCCATATTATAAAATAGTGAATTCCTCCCCATTTGAATTAGGAAGCTGAGGGGCATAAAAAGTGACAAACACCTTGGCTTAAATATGTGGCTCATTAAAGATAATTTATTTTTGGCTCTGAATTTATTTATTTATTTTTAAAGATTTATTTATTTATTTGAGAGAGAATGAGCACGAGCTGGGGAAGGGGCAGACGTGGAAGGGCAGAGGGGGAGGGAGAATCTCAAGCAGACTCCCCACTGAGCTCAGAACCTGATGTGCAGGGCTCTATCTCAGGACCCTGAGATCATGACCTGAGCTGAAATCAAGAGTCAGATGCTCAACAGACTGGGCCACCCAGGAGCCCCTGTCTCTGACATTTAAAAAATAAGTTAAAAACACATTTGGAAAACTTGCAGGTAAATATTAGAATTAAAAACTCTTACAAATGGGGCGCCTGGGTGGCTCAGTTGGTTAGGCGACTGCCTTCGGCTCAGGTCATGATCCTGGAGTCCCTGGATGGAGTCCTGCATCGGGCTCCCTGCTTGGCAGGGAGTCTGCTTCTCCCTCTGACCCTCCCCCCTCTCATGTGCTCTCTCTCATTCTCTCTCTCTCAAATAAATAAATAAAATCTTTAAAAAAAAAAAAAAACAAAACTCTTACAAATGCCTTCCAGAATAGAAGGTGAAAACAAAGAAAATGTAGACAAAAATCACATGAAAGTATTCCAAAGAGAAGGAATAAAATAATATGGCAGAAATAAGGCCAAGTATAAACAATACATGCAATGAATGACTTCTTAGAAAACTATAAAAGTGGAACTGATTCAAAAAGCAAGAGAATATCTGAATAGTTTAATGACCCTGAAAAAGCAGAGAACATGGTCAATATTACCTCTACAAAGAATGGGAGGCTATATAATTTTATGAGTTGGTTCATTTAAAACATTATAAACTATTCCAGAGCATATAAAAGTAGAAAATTTTAGGCATTCTTGTGCCAAGCTGGGATAGCCCTACATCTGATTTTGACAGTACACAGAAGCTTACGGACCAACCTCCTTCATAAATGCAGGTGCAAAATACTGAAAAATACTCTCTGCAATGAAATATGAAATATATTATATATATATATACATATATATAACAGAAACACTATATAACAGAATATACATATAAAACAGAATCAAAATAATTTCCACACAATTTAGGATTCAACTTAGTTTCTTTTTCATAGTGGTAGGACTGTAGAGATTCTGAAGCTATTATCTTTGTAGTTTAGTTGAGCAAATGAGAATAGATAACTGTGGGAGAAGAGAGATGGACATATTGGCAAGGAAGAGGCCTGTGGTGTTGGCTGGGGATTAGAGGTGTATTTTACACACACGCACACACACACACACACACACACACCCCTTTTAGGTGTAGAGAGAAACAACAACAAAAAGGAAGGCATGATGATGGTATGAAGGCTCTGGCTTTGAGTCAAGAGGGCTCCCAATAGCATCCCAGACTCATTGACTGTCTAAAGATGGCCAGGGTCATGTCATCCGGATCCTGAAGTTGGGGTGCCTTAGTCTTTCTAGAACAGGGTCAAAGAGTCTGGAAGCTGTTTTCATTGGCTTTGCAAAAAATAAACACCTCTTTGAGGTCCTTTTCAAATTCTGCCTCCAAGTCCAGTCCTATCTGACCAAAGTCGGAAGCCTGAAAGAGAAATAAAAGCAAACAGATGTCTAAGGACAAAGAATTAGGACCACCAAAATCACTTGCATTTTTGCATTTTTGGCGGGGAGCCCCTCCCTGCCTGTCCCGAATGCTGTGCTTCCCCAGCAGCCAGGCAGACTGCGCAGGGCAGGGGGAGATGCTGATACCACAAATATTGAAATGAGCAAGGCTCTGCCCGATTCCTAACTTGGACCTGACAGGTGGTCAGGACTGGAGAGCTGATTGTGATCACTGCAAAGCCTGAGCTTGGGGTAAAATAGATAGAGATAAAGCATTTCTTGAAAGCCCAGCCTCTGAAGGAAAGATGAGCCTTCCATTCTCTGAGGCTGAAACTGGGCCAGGCCTGGAGGGGGCTCCCTGGGTAGACTCTCCTTCCAGCTCCACGTGCAGACACCAGTTAAAAATTTGTGGTTCATGAACATGCCAATTTGTGCCATGGAGGAAGGGAAGGAGGCTGGGTGGAGATGGAAACCTTCCTTAGATATCTCCCAAGAAATATCTACCCAAATGATAGTATAAATCAGGATAAACTCAATAGACTAAAGTTGACAACCCGTTGGCTTGCAAGATAACTCAACTCTTGCTACTGACAAAGGACAAAGCCAACACCATCTGAGGACAGTTCTGTAGGTTTGGGTCCCCTGGGGAATTTAGGAGTAAAAAAATCCAAGCATGAGCATCCTGGGAGTTTAAGTTATTTCATAAAGTTTAATTCCTTCACTTATTTCTGTTTTTCTGAGGCATGGAAAACAATGCAGCCATGAACTACCTTTCCTCCCCGTTTGAACAAGGAGGCAGGATGAGATCGACTGTTCTCAGCGTGACTATCCCGCTCGCCCTAGAATCAGGGACGGATTTTCAGGCCCTGTTTACAAGGATTCTTCCCTGTCCTGCTTGCTGTCCTTTCTGAATTCCTCTCCACCCCTGGAATTTAGAGGCCGCTTTCTTCTGTAATCCCACTCCTTTTGAGCTCTCTCCAGGACGAGATTGGTACAATTCTCTCAACGTCCTGCTGCCCCAGAAATTAGGGAAAAATAGAAAGGAGGTGCGGAGGAAACAGGAGACACCCCTTACCTTGTAAAATGCTTTATGGTTGCGAAAAATCAGGCGCATGTCGCGAACAAACCACGCCACCGTGTACACTTTCTCAGTCAGCCGTTCCTTAACCAGGTCCAACCACATGGCTTCCTTAAAGGGCTCTCCATAATCTCGAATCTAGGGACAAAGCCACCAAAAGGGTGATATTAACACAGCCATTATTCCTGGAAGGGATCCAACTGAAATACAACAGAAGTGATGATAATAAGCATCAGACTCGTCTATGCCAGGCACCGCCCTGAACACCGCCACTAGGTTAGCATGTGATCCTACAACAACCCTATGAGATAGGTCCTATAATTACCCCCATTTTCTAGGTGAGGGAACCAAGGGAGGGAGACGTTAAACAATCTATCCAGGATTTCACAGCTAAAAAATGGTAGAGGCGGGACTTGAAGTCTCCTGAGAAGGTGCTCTAAACCCTCTGCTGTCTGTAAGAAAGACATTCCCCTGAAGAGCAGGCGAAACTGAGGTGCCCGGGAGGCGGAGCTAGTTGCCCGGGGTTCCCAGAACCAGGATGCGCTGGGTGGAGTTTGAACCAGGTTGTCCCCCTCCAGACTCTGCAACTAAACCTGCTCTCTGCAAACAGCAGTGCCCTTAGGAGTCACACTCCCAAATTCCAGAACGAGCTTTACATAAAAGAGATGCCCCAAGGACAAGAATCATAAAATGTCACTTACATTAGGTGGGGTTTCTGCAAAAAAGGAGCTTTGTGGATGACAGTAGGCCTTCAAGAGGAGGAACTCACATTTCTGTAAAATGTGAAGAAAGCTTTAAAGGGAAATGCAGCTCAGAGAAAGCGAAGCCGGACCCGTGCCCAGACAGACGGGCACAAGCAGGAAGAGCCAGACACAGCCAACCGTCCAACCACATTTGCCAAAGAGCCGTGGGGTGTGTTGAACTCTGCTTGGACTCTGTTTGGGCACCGAATCGCCATCCTCGGAAGCGAGACACTGCAGGCTCCCTCAGGTACCCATGGGCGCCCTTCCCTTCCCCCTCTACCTGTTGGACTTCTCACATGTCCGGGGTAAGGAGAAGGCTTGGGGTTGGCACCCAACTCACCAACTGCTCCTCAGGCTGCATCTGCCTCTCCAGGGCCTCAGATTCCCCGTGACACTGCTGCCTTCCCGAAGACTCTTTTATCCTGCAGAAGGTGCAACTCCATGGGCTCCTGAGAGGTCAGGCATAAGTGAGCAAGGGCAAGGCCCCTGGAAACAGCCCCTGTTCCTATGGCTGCCACCATCCTCCTTTCAGGCATGGCCGATGGACACAGCTGGGAGATGAAGGGGACACCTCCCAGAGTCTCCAAGACCCCACGTGGGGCCTGAGCCCCCGACCCTCCTCCCATGGAGGGTGGCAACAGGGGGTTCAGTGTGTGCAGGGTGGTGTCAGGGTGAGTGGTGGGCTCTCCTCTCCCCAGCTGAGCTGCTGGGAACACAAGGCGCCCTGCCTGTCACACCCAAGTGTCAAAACTGGGCCTTAACCCCTGGGGACCTAGGCTTCTATCAGCCCGTCGAGCCCGTGGTGAAATGCATGAACCAGGCCACGTTTCCTGCCTTGTCTGAAAAAGCACAGAACATAAACAGCTGGTGTTTCCCATCCTCAATCCCCAGGGACAGGAGTCAGGGTCGTAAAACTAGGAGAGGACACTACCCAGGGCCAGTGGCAAGGTGGAGTCAAGGTGGCTCAGTCACAGACTCAGAACCAGAGGCTGTCACGATACCACACGGAACCCAGACTGCTGCCCCATCCCGAGACTCCGGGTCACACCTGAGCCACGACGCTCACGGGTCCTGCTCTTCCGCCTGGAGTTGAGCCTCCAAAGGCAGAGCCCGGGCAGAGTCTGCGTGCAAAAGGCAAGGCTGGGTCTCACTAACCTCTCCGCCTCTGCGGACGGGATGTGACAGTCCTCATGAAAGGCTCTTGGACAAGTGTCACAGCAGAGCAGTGGTCCCCCTCTCCAGCACACCTCACATTCCTTGGAGTTTTCCCACTGGAAGGGGAGATAATGCAGCAGCGCTGGGATCAGCACTGACACCAAGGGGCTTTGTAACACACCATCCTTGTGTGTTCCAGAGTGGATGTTTCCAACCTGCCTGACCGCGGCGCTTCGGGCGAGTGCTGATGGAGGGCGAGCCTGGCTTTTCCAGCCGCAGACGGGCTCACGGCAAGAATCATCAAGCTGCCCCTTGAACCATACCTGTCAGAGCTGGAAGGGATGGAGGGTCCTTTAAGCCCTTTCTACACAAAGTGTGGTCTGAGGACCAGCTGCATCAGCATCACCTGGGAGACATGCAGACCTACTGAATTGAAATCCATTTTAACAGGATCCCAGATGGCTTGGAAGTACATGAAAATTTGAGAAAACACAAAGCTTTAGGCAACCTCCTCATTTTACAAGTCTGGAAAGACGAGATGCTTTTTTATTTTTTTTTTTCTGCAGAGTCAACACAACTTAATGCCTGAGCCAGACTGGCACCCAGGCTGCCTGTGCCTGGGTTCAGAACGGTTCTGTCCACTGTGTGTCATCCCAGGCAAGCATGCTGGGCAGACCCAGAACAGTTCCTGACATTATGGCCAACAAACAAACATAAAGACAGAGAGCTGCTGTATAAATGGGTCTTTTTGTGGGCCTTTGAAATCATTGTCTTTCTCATGGCCTTCAATTGTGAACCAGTAAATTTTACAAGTGATCTTTACTGCTGGATAAAGACCTACAGGCAGGAGCCCCTGGTTCCACTCCTGACCCTGCAAGATGGACAGTGGGACTCCACACACAAGGACATGTTTTCTCTGCACTAAAGGTAGGAGTCAGGAAGAGGCATCTTTCTAGGTGGTGAAAAGGTGGGAAATAGACCATCAGGAGCTGGAGCAAAGGACTGAAGGAGCTGGGGATCAGTCATATCTAAAAGAGAAATCCTGCCACTACCCTCAACTGTCCACAACAGAAGTACAAGGACCTGCGTGAGGGCATAAGGGATGGAAATGTTTTGTCCATTCTCAAAACTAGCCACTCAGAGGGGTGCCTGGGTGGCTCAGTCAGTTAAGCATTTGCCTTTGGCTCAGGTCACGATCTTGGGGTCCTGGGATCGAGCCTTGTGTCTGGCTCCCTGCTCCGTGGGGAGTCTACTTGTCCCTCTCTCTGCTCATGCTCACTCTCTCAAATAAACAAAATCTAGCCACTCAGCCAGAGTAAAAATTCCCCTTGACTTGGGGATGAGTTCATCTCTCTCTTAATTGGGGAGGCTTCCTGAGCAAATTCCTCTACTTACAGGGGCCCCAGGACTCCATAAAGAGGGCTCCCCACCAGCCCTGAAGTTCAGGTGATCTTTCTGGCCTTCCTATCCTGAACTTCCCGGTCTGCTTTTCTTTGTCCCTGGAATTGACACTCTATGGCCATTCTTGCCCTCTGACTGGCCTGCCCAGGTCCAGAGTACAGACCCCAGTTCCCCAAGTAGCCCATACCTACCCACTTCTCCTAGTTGAGACCCCAGTTGGATCCAGAGCCCCAGCCCCTCTGTAGTGTGAGCACTCATAGTTTTTTTTTCCCTTTTTTTTGTAATGCAAGTGCCTAACTGAAGCCTTGATTGCTCCAGCACCCCGATAAACACAGCTATCTTGCTATTTCTCAAGTAAACATTTCCAGCCACACAACTAGATAAAGAGCCAGGCCACCAATCCTCACTGAGACTCCTTTGTTTTAGGGATCTCGGTTCATTTCAATAACTGACTATTTGGGCCACCTGTTTGTTTTTTAAATTTTTTTTTAGATTTTTATTTATTTGAGAGAGAGAGAGAGAGCAGGGGGAGGGGCAGAGGCAGAGGGAGAAGCAGACTCCCCACTGAGCAGAGAGCCCAACACTGGGCTGATCCCAGGACCCGGGGATCATGACTTGAGCTGAAGGCAGATGCTTAAACCACTGAACCACCCAGGTGCCCCTGGGCCACCTTCCCCCCACCCCTTCCCACACTTTAAATTCTAGCTCTTATGTTTTAAATTCGCCAATAAAGATTGAGCCAGAGAAACCCTAGGCCCCCACCTCTATCCCAATAAAGGCAGAACCTCAAACCTATGCTCATTCCCTCTCTCTCTACCTCTTCTTCTACCTCTATCTGTCTCTCCATCTATCTCTCCACAGCCTCACTGTATGGCCCCAGATGCACTTTGTAATTTCCAGGTCCTGTAAATAATAAACTTTTTTTTTTTTCCAGTTTCCTGATGCTTAGTGCTGGAGGGCATATTGTGATTATAATAAGAACCACAAAGGCTGGTCCAACTACAACATCGGTTATTGATAGGCTGTGACCAACACAAAACACCCCCTTCCCTAGGCTCTGGAGTGGAACAGTTTCCAACACACATGATATGACAGAGAAAGAGAGAAAGGACTTACAGCTCCACAGCCGCGTTCTGACTCTTGCTTTTATGTTTGATGTCTGACGGCTTCCAGTCCCACTCCTCCCTCTTTCCCTTTTGCCACATCAGGGCGGCCACTGGCTAAGGAAGCTCATGGGCTCCCCCTCTTGGCCCCAGTGAGAAGTTCAAACCAGACAAGCTCTGCCCCCGCAAGGGAATTCTCACCCTGCCCCCCCCAATAATAAAACCTTAGGCCACTCCCCCTCACTACTCAGGCCATTTTCACAGCAGCTTGGGAGACTGCCCTTCTCTCCCTAGAAAGCCTCAGTATGTGAGTAATAAATCATTCCGTACTCTCTTGGTGCATGTAGTGCATCATCAGTTTTGATATCTGGACCCAGTTTTTGGTGTAGGGCTGATCCCACTTCCTTGCCAGCAATCAGAAGACAACTGGCTCAACAAGCAAGGAGTCTCAGTGACTGGGGTCTGTATTCTCTTGCTCTGGCTTGCTAACTGGTTCCACTAACTGGCTTCTGCTTTAGTGTTGCTGCCTGCTGGGCCATGGCACTGAGGTTGCAGTCATCCACCATGAGGCACCATTCATTCTTCCCAAGTTTAAGAACAGGCCAAACTGGACAGTCAAATAGAGAAACAGCGGAGGTAATCACTCCTGTTTGAAGTAGATCTTGTATCATGAGTTTTGATGCTTGAAGTTTATACTGGATTCTACTAACTCTTTTAAGAGAGGGAAAGGTCCATGGGTTCCATTTTTTTTTTAAGACTGATTGTTATGTGTCAAAAACTTTATTTTACTTCATTATTCATTGGGTAAGAACATCCATGCCCACTGTGGGATATTTTAGAGCAATGAGTATTATGACCATGGGGCATTTAGGCAAGGCAACAGTTTTGATGGTTAAAAGTGAGGTATACCTGTTTGTCCTCTATTTTATCTTTGGTAATGCCCCTAAAAGTATAGAGGGTAACTTGTTTAAATTTAGTGGGATATAATTACTTGCAAAGGAGCTCCACCCATTAAGGTCCTTATAGCCAGTATTATTGAAATTACTGACACCAACCGCTTGGCAACTGGCAAGTGTTTCGCTGTCCCAGATTTGGCTAGGAAGTTCTGCTTTGTGCCTCTTTCAACAGCATCTCAGCTGCAGCTTGCCATCACCTCTGTAGGGATACACCATTACTTTTACATGGTTGCCTACAGTACCTCAACAGCTTTACCATCACATACAACCTCTGCAGGCAAGATCTTAACTACATCCTACTTTCCCCAGGAGCACAAATATAACACCACATTGATGACATTGTTTTCATTTGACATACTCATTCAGAATGTATAATTATTCACAAAGGAGCTCACAAAAAGGGATAGGCCATTATCTACACACAGCATAAGGCCCCATCAGCTCAGCAAATTTCTGGGCATTATTTGGTCATTTGAAGTCTGCTCCATCCCTGAAACTGTCAAGAAACAATTGTTGAAAAACCCTCTCAATACCCATGACTATTGCCCAACATCTTTACGCCTTTGAATTCAGGGTAACATGTTCCTCATTTATAGATTTTACTTATGTCCATGTATGCTTACTTGTAAATTGGCCTACTTTGAAGAGAATCCCTTTAATCAAAGGCTCTAGAATCTGTCCCAAAAAAAAGGCAAATAAACTGTTCTCCTTAGTTCCCACTATACACCATTAGAGTAGCCACTGCTGTCTTCGTACTGGGCCCTTCTAGAGATGGAGGCTCTCGCAGGCCCTGAGCCTATGACTTTGTACCAGCTGCTCATTTTACCTTGGGTTATGGGAGCAGCGTCCCCCAGGGAAGTCACAAAGCATATGTTTGGAGTATCAGCATCAGGTTTCTTGATAGTACACAGATACAAAGATAGACACCAATGGAGACAGGGTATGTTGCTGAGCAACAGTGATGTATTAGATAATGTGGCTGAAGAAAAGGCCTGCATTCATCCATTTGTAGTCATTACAGATTATCTCATTATCCCAATGTGGCTGCTAATAGGCAGTACCGAAATGTCGGGTCAAGTGTGCTTCTGACTATAATGTGCTGAGCGAGAAGGAACTATAATATTGGGGCCATTAATTAATGCTCTGGATTTAAAATATCTTTATTGTTTTGTTTCCTGGTTACAAAAGTAATAAATGGTCATTATAAAAATTCTACCTGTACATAAATGTATAATATGGAAGGCAAATGTCCCATATAATCCTATCCCAAAATAACCAATTCATTCAGATATATTTTCAATCATAGACCTACATAGTCACATAAACAAGATTGGGCTCCTTCTACTACTACTACTATTACTAGTTTAAGCTTCTGAAAGCTTTCTTGACCTTAGAACCTTTGGGTGGTTTTCCATTGACTGAGGAGGCGTCTATACCCATGCATTTTTTTTTTTAAACACATTTAGTAGATATATCAGTTTATTTTATAATTATGATGGGCATTTGTATTCTTCCCTAATTTTTGGTTATTACAAGGAATGCCCCTGTACACGTTAAGGTATTTCAAATCAGCATGGAAAAGATGTTTTATACAATAAACAGCTTTGGGAGACGCCTTGTCTTTTTGAACTTTGAAAGAATCCAGCCAAGGGTCAGGCCAGCCTCCAGGGTAACATGCGAAAGGCACCATGGGAAGTTCATGAATGAGATTTGTATCTGGAGGACATATTTAAGCAAGTGAAGAAGGCTGAGGAGGAGCGGCTGGTGTAGACAATGATGACGGCCATTTTCACCTGGAGGGATGCTCTGCCCAGACAAAGCTCAGTTCAAACACTATTCCATTTTGCTGCTACTGATAATGAGCTCGTTGAATTGAGGACTAGTTGTGTTCAATCAAGGATGGTCGTCTTACTCTTTCACATACTGTTCTTGTCTACCTCCATTTCATAATTACTTTTCAAACTAGAGCACTCTATTTCTGACACCTTTTATTTGTATTCATCCAAATATCCAAGTCTAAAACACGTAAATCATCAGTTTTTGTCCTAGTCTTTATTTTAAGAGTTATTTGTGTCCCCATCTCAAATTAACTATGAAATTATGATGGCACATACATGTATCAGTGTGCCAATGCCATTGTCATGAAGACGCAATGCCTGAAAGTAAAGGTGACCCAGGGCTGGGGAACTTGAGGACTCGAAGGTGAGCCTTTGGATGCAGAGAGTCTGCAACATGGTGACTGAAAATGTGGTAGAAATTCATCTGCTCTTTACCTCTCTCTTGACACTTATTCTCGGAGGACAGAGCAAAAGTCCTTTCTGAAAGAGAGAAGGGGTCAGTGAATGAGGTTATTCTAGAGGCTCTTCTTTTGTCCACATCGAAGTTCCCACTTCCTAGTGAATATTTGTACCTGGACATCCTACTGGGTCTCAAACCCAAGGTGTCTAAAAAAAACATTAGCTCCATCCTCCAATCAGTTCTTCTTCTGGACTTCACTTGATAAAATCATTTTTTTCCCATTACTCAAACCCAAGACCCATTAGTCCTTCTTTCCCAGTTCTTTTCTCACCCACTTTTCCCCTCTCCATTTCTCCTTCTGTAGGTAAAGTCCTTATGATTCCATCACAGTGATAACTTTTTGAGTGTTTTGGGGAGGCTTTGTGTTGGGTTCTGGGATCACAAAGACCAATAGCCTTGTTTGTTGCTCACAGGATAGTGTGTGAGCTGGGGAAGTACAGAGGAGAGACTGCCCACAGACAAGGTGGTCTGGAAAAGTGTCACCCAGGTGTCCAGATGGAGCTGGGTCTGGAAGAGGCCTTTATTGGGCAGAGGGTGCAAAGAAGCTCTCGGAGGTCTGTGTCTCCATCTGGCTTACTCCCAGCTCACCCCATCCAACATCCCCAGGCTAAGCTTCTTAAAACTCTCCTGACCTCACAACCCTTTGCTCACATTTAAAGTTCTCCGCCGTGGGTACCACCAATCTGCGTTCCTAACTTTATCACCCACAACTTTTTTCTATGAAAAATCTAGCTCTTTCTCAATCATGCTGTGGAATCCCAATGGAAATTCCTTCACATTTCTGTTATTGAAATTCCACTTATCCTTCAAGGAATTAAACCCGTCACCCATCTTTTCCCTGTCAAATACCTTCAGCAGCTCTTCTAAGGTCTTTCCTTTGCAATGCACAGTCTGCTTCCATTTCCTTGTATTTGCCCGCTTTCCTTCGATTTCAAATTCTTTTGGTGTGAACCAGACCCCTGCCTCATTCCGAATGCACTTCTCTGAGGATCCTGTAAGATAAAGACGGCCCATTCCCAGATCCAGTTTCATTCTCTGTGAATTAACCCTAAACCTCAAATCCCTAACTGTGGTTGTTCCACCTGCCTGGGTCGAGAGAGACTTCCTGTGGGGAGGGAGCAGTAGCAAGGGAGTCTGGATTCCTTCTTTCTCAGACTGAAGGAAGCCCTGAAGCCTGCAGGAGTGGTGTGGGAGTGGGAGAGGATTTGCATCTTATGTGATATCTACACGTGGCAAGTAGAGCCACTGGGTCCATGGATGACTTCCACGTGGGAGTGGAGTGGCTCAGCTGCCAGGTTTACCATGATACAGAAAAGTGAAAATTCTTTCTTAATAAGCACTTCTTTCCCTGCAGCCTAGCTTGCAGGGTTTATTTCCTGGATGATTAAACACATGGGTATTTCCCTCTCTTCCAGTGGTTCTAGGGGTTCCAAAGAGCAGAAGACCGAGAAACCCACCTTGTTTCAATTTCTCCTTATATAAAATCCCTTTGGCTTCACCACAGGTCACAGGAAGTTCAGGAGAGAGAAAATCCACAGTTTCATCTTCGGGTTTTTCTGAAAGAAGAAGGGAAAGTAGAAGAGTGTAGTGTTGCTCAGTCTTCCTTCTATCTCCTTCATGGATTCTCCTTTCCCTAAATTCTGATAATAGTAATAACAACAATAATCATGTAAATGGCACTAGAGGGCAACCTCTGGTTAACTGGCAGAAGGTCTTCCATTTTGAGTGGCAGATTAGCTAACATGGACAGAGCAGTTTCCGATCAACAAAACCATCACCACCAACACTACATCAAACAAAATGTTTAGTAAAACATATAGGGCTTCTTTGGTGAGTGGGTTTTAATTCATAAGCTAATTGGCCATCACCTAAGTTTCCTTTATTCCATAAGCATCCTGCTTATCTCTCTGTGCTGATAGAAGTTGCCTGCTCAGAATATTTTGTGGTGCTCATGTAGCTGGAGGAAAGGTCTTTGTCTATAATCTTATCTCCTGATTTAAACCAAGGCAGGATGAGTGAGGTGCTTAGTGTTGAGGTATTAGGGTCAGTCTTCATTTTTTGCTGTCCTTTTTCATTTTATTGCTTTTCTGTTTCTTCCTCTATGAGTAAAAAAGAAAAACCCCAAGAACTCTAGACTAATCTGCGAATTGCACATGGAGAGATTTGGCAACTGTGAACCCCTGAGTAGGGATGTGGGATATTGATTCAGGAGAAGCAGTTGTAAAAGAGTTTAAAATAAATATCAGCAATTCCTGCTTCTTTTTGCTCTAGCCTCACTGTGGGTGGATTCATTCCAGATAGACTGCAGGAGCTGTCTCCAGGGGCAAGGAGAAAACTCTGCAGCCTAGGATTATACAGGATGTTACTTGTGGAATAAGGCTAGGTGAACAACGAGTCCAACTTTCTCTCTTGCCTCAGATACTTATTAAAAGAGCCAAAAGGAGGGGTGCCTGGGTGGCTCAGTCAGTTAAGTGTCTGCCTTCGGCTCACAGCATGATCCCAGGGTCCTGGGATCAAGCCTTGTGTCCAGCTCTCTGCTTGGCAGGGTGCCTGCTTCTCCCTCTCTCTCTGCTGCTCCACCTGCTTGTTCTCTCTTTCTCTCTCTCTCTCTGTCAAATAAATAAATAAAATCGTAAAAAAAAAAAAAAAGAGCCAAAAGGAAGTGTATGAGAAAGCAAGAGCACCATTGGAAAGAGAACAGAGCAGCATCAATGGTGAAAAAATCATTAGTTACTTTGGAAAGATATGAACTAGAGTCAGACAAGAAAGCAGAGATCCCTGAGAAGTGAGGGGATTTCTCCCCTGAACAGAACGCTGGAAGATGCCCAGCCTTGGAGGGGCAGGGGCTATAGCAAGCCTGGGTAGGAATGAGGGGGTGGGAAGAACTTAGTTTCAAGAGCCAGCCAGCATTCTTGCATGGAATGGCTGGCTCCACTACTTGTCTCCGGACTCTGCCCACTTAAATAAATATGGCCCAGGGGATGACAGATCAGCCTCAGGAGCCAGATTGGTTGGGCTTATAATCTTGGCTGTGCAGTTTATTAGCAAGGTTATGTAAGTGCATATTACTGTCAAAGTTGAGTGGAAGATTTGCCACTGGGGGTTCCTAATGTGGGTGACCAGGCAGAGCCACAGGTAACTTTGGACTACTGCAAACCCCAAGGGGGATTAGCAGGGCATTGGGGGCCTTGTATAGTTTTCTGTCTCATGGAACGAATTCCTTAATTCCCTATGGCATATTATAGGTCCCAAAACACAGATGTCCCAGACATGCTTGCAAGCAGATGTGGGAACAGTGGGTGGCACTGGCAGTTCTGGGCAGCAAGCCAGGGTGCAGAGTTGTGGGCACAAGCAGAACTCCCTCCTTTACTTGGTGCAGGCAGCTTACCAAGTCAGGCAGGACCTTGTGTCCTGAGTATTTCCAAAGACACCACCGTGTACCTAAGTAGGGACAGCTTTCTGATCTGTTCCCGGTCATCCTGCATTTGGCTTAGTCTCACCTGCTCCTCTTGCAAACAGGCTTTTAAGGCTGGAACCCCGAGGGAAAGACCTGCCTGCTGCTCTCCCACATCTATGAGATCACCATTCATAAGTGTGGGCAAACAATGAGGAACCTGCTATGAAAAGTAAGCAATTAACAAAGAGAGTTCATGGAAATGAAAAGCATGGTGGAGGAAACAAAAAGAAAGCCTAACAGAGACAAGGAAAAGCAGAATGGAAAAAAAAGTTAATTACTGATTGGATAGATGAACATCGGGAAAAGGCACAAGATGAAAATCATTCATGGACAGACGGGGCCTGGGGAAAGGTCTGGAGCTCCATGGTAGTAGTCACTGGAGCTCATACTGCATTGTATGAGTAAATGGAGGTTCTGATATTGGTATTCATACTTTGTAAAGAAAAATAGATAATGTATTGATCTGATAGTTATTTAAGCATAAACTGTGTGAGGCACAGAGAAGTTGGACATAGAGCAATGAGCAAGATTGACTGCTTACTGATCTCCTTTGACTTTCACCCAGTTAACAGCTAATTATAGTTGTGACAAGGGCCATGAAAAAAAAAACACTAGGCTCTATGAAGGCATGTCAGGGAGACCTACCCTTGCCTGCTGGGACAGAGAAGTCTTGGTTCAAGGTGAGGCCTGAGGGTGTGAAGCAAAAGGAAGGAAAGCAAGGGGGGATTAGCTTTGGGGAGGAAGTGTGTGAGGGGGAAACAATGAGGAAGTCCTGAGCAGGAAAGGGGGGCATAGCATCCAGTGTCAAAGTGGCTTAGGCTCTCAGAAATCAGGCTGGTGGGGACACTCAGGGTGTGGGTAGGGGTTGGATTGTGGGTGTGGGTTAGGTTGTGTTTCTTGACCTAGGTGCCAGGTACATATGAGCTTTTCCTTTGTGTTAATTCCTCAAAGTGTACATTTATGGTACTTGCATTTTTCTTAGGCACATTACACCAGTGCTACTCAACATGTTAGCGTGTGACGAGACAGCAGCTTGATCAAAGTAGAATCAAGGCTCTCAGGGTCGTGGGATCGAGCCCCATGTTGGGCTCCATGCTGGGTGTGGACCCTGCTTGGGGTTCTCTCTCTCCCTCTCCTTCTGCTGGTGCCACCCCCGGGAGGCGCATTTGCTTTCTGTCGCTCTCTCTCTCTCTCTCTCAAAAAAAAAAAAAAAAATAGAAATCAAGGCATCTCCACTGAGGAGGTCTTGCTGTAAAGACAGTTGGTCCAGTGTCACAGTTAATTTATAAGCTCCTTCTTTCTGCAGACCTGCCACAAACGGACTTGTCAATGGCACCAGTCTGTGGACCCCACCTCAAGTAACCCCTGTTCTACTTCAACAATAAATTCAATAAATTCATGGGGGAAAAAAGACCAATGTCACTGGAGCATAGAGGGAAGGCAGAGGGAGAGGGGATGATGTTGAAGATGTGTCACAAAAGCAGAAGAAAAATGCGAGCAAGCAGAAAAAGAGGAGGGGAAGAAGAGGAAGAGAGGAGGACAGTGACCCCAAGAGGCCTCAGGGTGCAGGCGGCAGAAGCAAGCCAAGGGGATGACCCACAGAGACCAGGCTCGCACCCCTGTCTATCACAGGAAAAGAAAGTTCAGCTCTCTGCAGATAGGAACACCATCAGGGCCTTGCTTCCATAAGGGTTTTCACCCTATGGAATGAAAGAAGTAGAAGTTGATGTTAGAACTTGACTCATGGGTTCAGTCTTTCTCTCTTAAACATTTTGGGTCTTTGTTGGTGGGTTCTCTGTTGAAGAATCCATCCCAGTGCAGAAGCAGGTGATTGGGTAGGCAGCACAAGGTATGCACTGGCATTCACCTGGAGTGTCCGGTGTGACAACTTGTTAGAGTGGAGAAGAATGCAGGTGAAGGAGACCTAGGCAGAGGAGGACAAGGATGGGAGGGAAAAGAGGAGGAAGACAGGGAGACAAACAATTAGCATCTGGCCAGGGCGCCATGCAGCCTGACAGGCCCTGCATCTGGCTTATTTACCCTTGTGAGGAATACTTTTCTGACATCTTCTTGTTGAACTTGAACTGACATTTTTTTTCCTTTTCTTTTCTAAAAAAATGAAAAAAAATTAGTGTCATCTATAATTTGAAACATAGATTTATATGCTTTATATATCAACTATTTTAAAGTAATTTTTTTCTGTCTTTCTACTGCTTTGGAGAAACAAGATAGATATGAGTCTTGTGAAATGAATACTATAGCATTGATCACGGAAAAATAGCAAGCTCATGTTAATAGATAGGAAGGCCAAAAATATTATAGATGCTGTATATTCATAAATTAATGTATATTAATACAATATATAATAATCGATATAATGTTTTTAATACAAACATACTTATATCCATAATATATATGTATTTAATACAAACAATAGAAGTAGATAAAGGATATAACCTTATAAACATAACACAGAAAGGGTTTTTTAAGGAAGAAATATAGGGCATAAAGCCATGGTTCTCAATGTGGGGTGATTTGGTCCCCTGGGGGATATTTGACAATGTTAGGAAATCTTTTTGTTTCTCACAGCTGGGAGGAAGATGCTACTGGCATCTCTAGGCTGGGATGTTGCCAAACTTCTCATGATGCACAGGACAGCACTCATGACAAAGAATTATTCACTTCCAAATGCCAGTGTCAAGGTTGAGAAACTCTGGCATAAACCCTCTTGGAAAAGATAAACTGATTTGTCTAAATAAAAAAAAAAGTCTCCACAACCAAAAATTTCTCAAGTTAAAAGACACAAATAAGATAAGAAAAATTGCAATAAGATAACAAAGTGTTCATTTCTGTAATAGATTTAAGAAAATGAATCATCCTATACAAAAATGGGCAAATATGAACAGGTGATCCTCAAAAGAAAAAATTCTAGTAACAAAATTTATTAAAAAAAACAGGTATCTTAGTAGAAATAGGCTAGATGATGTTATGGTAAATTGTGATCCTCCCAAATCTCAGTGGTTGATTACAGGTATCAGCAAACGACAGCCTGATGGCCAAATTGGCTCAATACCTGTTTTTTGTTTTTTGTTTTGTTTTTGTTTTTGTTTTTGTTTTGTTTTTTAAGATTTTATCTATTTATTTGACAGAGAGAGACACAGCGACAGAGGGAACACAAGCAGAGGGAGTGGGGGAGGGAGAAGCAGGCTTCCCGCGGAGCAGGGAGCCCGATGCGGGGCTCGATCCCAGGACCCCGGGATCATGACCTGAGCCGAAGGCAGACGCTTAAGGATTGAGCCACCCAGGCGCCCCTCAATACCTGTTTTTAAAAATAAAGTTTTGGGGCGCCTGGGTGGCTCAGTTGGTTAAGTGACTGCCTTCGGCTCAGGTCATGATCCTGGAGTCCCTGGATCGAGTCCCGCATCGGGCTCCCTGCTCGACAAGGAGTCTGCTTCTCCCTCTGACCCTCCCCCCTCTCATGTGCTTGCTCTCTCTCATTCTCTCTCTCTCAAATAAATAAAATCTTTAAAAAAAATAATAAAAAAAAAATAAAAATAAAGTTTTGGGGTACCTGGGTGGCTCAGTTGGTTAAACGTCTGCCTTCGGCTCAGATCATGATCCCGGAGTCCTGGGATTGAGTCCTGCATCGGGCTCCCTGCTCAGCAGGGAGTCTGTTTCTCCCTCTGCCCCTCACCTTGCTCATGCTCTCTCTCTCTCTCACTCTCTCTTTTTGTCTCTCTCTCAAATAAATAAATAAAATCTAACAAAAAAAAAAATTTTCAATTAGCAATTATCGCGCCTCGGATAAACCTCATTGGCTAGGATACGGCCACTGTGCATTGTAACACAGCCAGGTGTATTTGCTTATATATTTGTCTCTGGCTGCTTTCATGCTACAATGGCTGTCTTGAGTAGTTGCAATAGAGACTGTATGGCCAGCAAAGCTTGAACTATTATCTGGCCCCTTTTAGAAAAAGTTTGCCAAGTGCTGGTTTAGAACAACCCAGTTGTACTTCTCCTTCATGTTACTCATTCATCACAAATTAGATGAAGTTCCATGTCATTGACATACATGGATCCTGGGGACAGAACAACCTCTCTCTAGAACACTGTTGGTCCCATGGCAGAGAAAAAGATGATACACAGGCTCTTAAAGCTTTGGCCTTGAAGGGACCCTCACATCTCTGCCCACATTTCTTTGGCCAAGTCAAGTGACATGGCCACACTGGAGTCCACAGGGCAAGGGTATATAACCTTCAGGGATATCAGTGAGCAGTAATACAACCTATCACATGCAAAATGCAAAGAAATTCAAAGGAAAACATGGGTGGAATAGCATTCTTTTTTTTTTTTAAGATTTTATTTATTTATTTGACAGAGAGAGACACAGCGAGAGGGAACACAAGTAGTGGGAGTGGGAGAGAGAGAAGCAGGCTCCCCGTGGAGCAGGGACCCTGATGTGGGGCTCAATCCCAGGACCCCGAGATCATGACCTGAGCCGAAGACAGACACTTAACAACTGAGCCACCCAGGTGCCCCTCATTCTTTGCTTTTCATCTGTCAACACAGAAAAGTCTTATTATTTCTAGTTTTGGTGGAGGTGGAGGAAAAAGAGCATCCATGTGATGTTAATGGGAGACTAAACTGATAACAATTTGATCATCAGTATGTGCTAGTTTTAAATATTGACTAAGCCACTTCACTTCTAGAAATAAGCCATTAAGAAATACTCTTCAGAGTGTGTCCACTTTGAGGATTGGTGCCACTCCTCCCATGGAGCAAGCTAGAATCAGACAGGAGCCCCCAGACTCAGTGGAGCAGTGGTGACTCTACTAACAGAAATGTAAACAGTAGACACTGGGACGTGGTCACGTTGAATCCACGTGGCACAGCTGAGCTGACCTGCATGTTGGCAGCACTGCACTGACTTCTTCCCACAACCACTCTCAGTCCAGCAACTCCTTGCTGTCTTGTCTGCACCGCTCCCTTCTGCGGTTTCCTTCACACAATACCCAACTCTGTGCCTGCCCCATGAGAGACCCTCCCACACTGAGCATTCGAATGGCAGGTTCAGTCCTCAGCTTACCCTTTGGTCCAGAGGTTTGGACACATTCAGTCCTTGCCTTTTGGGCCCTTGTCATGATCTTTGAGTTCCTGGTTGAATCATCCTTCTTTTCAGTTGTTTGATCCACCACATGGAGCTTCTCTTGGATTCTGTGCCCAGGTGAGGCTGCCCATGGGATAGTGATTTGTGAATAGTTTAAATTGGGGTCCCCGGTGAACCCCCTCCCCCCCTTGTTAGTGACTTCCTCTCTCATACCCCAGCCCTCAACCTTTCAGGAAATCCCTTACTCTTATACCTCTCTTTTATGTTATTTTCTTAGAGTTATTCCTCTTCTTTTTTGTGTGTATCTTTTTTTCTTCCCCAAACTCACAATACTTCATCCTGTTTCTCTTTCTCCCCTTCAACTTCTCTTTTTGTCTATTAATTACACATGCGTCAACTAGAATGTAAGCTCCATGAGGGCAGGAGTATTTGTGATTTGCTCACTGCTGAACCCATAGGACCTGGGACACGTACCTGACACATACCTCACACTCCATTTGCCTTTGTTGACTGAAAATATAAGGGGAGCATATTTTTGAAAATATTAAAATGATGTATTTTTTATCTTTATAAATCACAATGGCCCATGGTTCCCTAACTATTAAATCAATAAGTATCTGTGCAAGGACAGATGCTGGCTAGAACTGAGATGTCACTGCTCAGATGAGACTGTTTTGGAGACCTTACACAAAATCTTGAAACACAGAACTTGTTGAGAGCCCAAGGGATTTCTAAATTCCAAAAATTACCTTTATATGCTAACAATACAAGTTTGGAGGTCTAAATGTGAAGTTTTCCTAGAAGAAGAAAACTCAGCATATGACAAAGACTAAGTTTCTCTGGCTGAGGGAGATGATGGGGTTGGAAATCAGGAGGAAGAGACAAGAGGAAAAAGAGGGCAAGCAAGTAGATCTGAGTTCCCTCCTAGGTTAAACCCTGAGACTGAGAGGCACTAGAAACAAGCAGGAAAATTTGGAGCATGTCCAAAGCAGTGATGCCCATGTCATGATGCATGTTGAGAGCTGAGGGGAAATGCCCTCCCAGGGTGCTCACGGAATGGCCCAGAATCCAAGGGAATCCTTACTGACTGGTACACCTTGAGTACATGGTTTTGAGTAAAAGAATGAAGGAAAAGGGAAGGAGAAAAGTAGGAGGGAGAGAGTTCAGGGTGACAAGGAAAGCAGAGAGATAAAGCAGAGGAACCAGAAAATGCAGTTTCACAAAATTTTGTTTCCTAAACTGCAAATAATGCAATTTTCATGCATGGAGTAGACACAAGATAAGCAGGCATGAGTCAATTCAGGTGATTTTGAATGCTCTGTGACTCCAAATCTAACTCCAGTTTGATATTGGGAGTCTGAATCCTTCCTGCCCATCAAGACTTGCTTTGTCTATTCATCCTGGCTCTGAGCCAGACTAGACACAGTCCTAATCTCAAAACTGTCTGACACCTTCTGTCCAGTTCCACCCTATCCTTCCCATTGATAAGAGAAAAGAAGTCTGCTGGAACCAACACGGTTTCTGGGTTCTCCTTCTTTTGTGAGGGGAGGTCCTTTAACAGGGTAGTCTAGGGGGCAAGGATGGGACTGGCTGTGCTCCAGGGATACCCAGATGGCCATGTAGCAGGAGAGGAGGCCATGCTGGTCATCCAGTAAGGACCATGATGAACAAGGGAATAGTAATTCAATTTTTCTTACTTACTTCTTGGGAGCTTTTTTTCCTGTCTTCTTTTTGAAGATGGCAGGTTGTATTTTTCTGTCCTCTTTCCTAAAACAGAAAAAAAAAATCATCTCTTATGGCTATAAATATTGATCTTCAAGCTTGAAATGTCAATATTTATAAATAAATTTATGTAAAAAAAGTATTCCATTTTACTTGGAAATAAACAAGGATTGAACAAAGAAGTAATAGATACACCAAATTATCAACATTTAAATATGCCATTTAAAAATAAATACAATATGCCATTTTTTTCACCTTAATAACCAGTTTTTCAAGAGTAGAAGAAAAATAGAGACATCACTATAAGCTACATATAAGAGATTTACTTAGCTAAAACTCAAGGGCAGAAATCATAAAAATAAAAGATGAATAGATTTGCCTGTTTAAAAAATAAAAAATCCCCACACTTTAAAAAACATCCTTATAATATTAAGACAAAAAATAAGGAAAATTGCAGTATATGTAAAGTATAGAGGGTTAATATCCTTACTAGATAAAGCAAAAGAGGAATAGAACACTAGGGAAATGGGAGAGAACATAAGTTGAAAATACTCAAAGAGGAAAGACAAATGACACATTTATTTAAAAATTGTCTTTAGACAACTAATCATAAAAAAAAGTATTGTTTGGTTTTAAGGATTCCCATCTCCTAAAATGTTTTATCCTACCCAGTGTTGATGAGGACGTAGAAAATGAGCACTTATGAGCACTCATATTATCAAAGAGAATGTAAACAATCCCATTTTCTGAAGAACGATTTGCTGACATAGACAAAATCAAAGATGTGCAGACTCTAACCAAGTAATCTCACACTTAGAAATTAACTCGGAGGAAATTACTGGACATGTGTGCAAAGGTATAAACACACACAAACATGATTTCTATTTTCATATAAGAATTGGAGATAGCCTAACTGTCCATCATATAGGCTATTATTTAAACTAAATTGCTAATTATACAATAATGTGCTATATAACTAAAAGAAAGAAATACAGGTAACATTGATATGCAGATATGTGTATTAAATACACAATGAAAAAACTGTTTATAGACCATATAGTATGAGCTTCTATGTGTATAGAATGAGATAAATGTATGCATATTTCTAAGGTGTAGAAACAAAGTGGGGAAAGCAGATATGAAATAGGAGTTTCACTTCCTGATTAATAACTTCCCGTACAGATTCTGTGGATTTTATTGGGATCACACAGGCCACATTTCGGTGGTTTCATGTTCACAGTGTAAGTCTCAGTTACACAGAGTCCCCTGCGGGATTTGGAGTGTCCCAGCAGCCTTTGCGGTGGCGCTGAGACCCATGCTGCCTTGGCCCTCTGGCATCTCCCTCTTTCACACACTTCTGCAATCAGGGGAAAGGGGTGCAGAGAGCTGCTCAGTACTCTTCTGTGTTTTGACTCAGAAGTGACACTCGTAGCAGCTCATTGGCCAGACCCGTGATCACGGCCCTGTCTCCTGCAAGGAGCTGGGAAATGCAGCATCCAAGGCAGAGAGGAGAACTGGAAATAGTGGAGAGCACTAGCAATGCTCACCACCACGGTGTCCGGGGCAGGGACTGCTGATTATTTGGCTTTCTCTGGTCTCGCTTTTCTTTGCTAATCAAGCGATTTGATTTCGAGCTGGATACGGGTCCTTCGAGAAAAAAAAGTGACATTTCCCAGCCTCCTTTGCAGTCAGGTGTAGTCAGGTCACTCGTAGCAAAGAAATGGTAACAGAATGTCTAAAGGCAACCTCCTCCAGTGGAAGAGACATGCCCTCCTAGACCTTGCCTCTTTCCTTTGGTGGGAATGTAAACTCGCTGGCTGGACCCCAGTGAGGGGATGCCACACTCTGAAGTTGGTGGTGCAATGACTAATGAGTTTGAGATTCTAGGTGCATGATGCCAGCCCTGACCGCCTACCTTCACATAGGAGAGAGAAATAAGCTCTCTTATTTCAGCCACTGGTTTTTGAGGGGAAGGGCGGTTCTTGTCCCACACAGCAAGCTAATCCTAATGGCGGCTGAATATTGCTTTTGTAGTGTGGAAAAATTTCTAGGTTGAAAAAAATCAATAAATCACTGTTTTAAAAAGCACAAATCTTTTTATGGTCTAGGATGTCTCTTTTGTAGCATAGAAGAGTGTTAACAACCCAAAAAAGTAACATCAAATCCACCCTAACAGAGACCAAATAGGTTCTTTACACTTACGTGTTTCCCCAGATTTTCCCAAAGATGGTTTATTTCCATTATTTGTTGAATCTAGAAAATAATGAGAAAGAAAGTCATTTTAAACAGGCTTTAAACTTTGTGACCACCTCATTTCAGACAATATTGAGTTGGTAAAGTTTTGACAGTATTATTTCTGTCCTTCCTTTATAATGGGGAATGATGGGATCTGAAGAGAGTTCTAGGGGACCAAGGTGCTTGTCCTGTGCCACCATCCTTTACCCACAGGATCTTGGAAAAACCCACTCATCCTTTACATGCCTCAGTCTCCTCATCAGTAAAATTTGAATTCATTATTCAACCTTCTCCAACGATTGTTGTACAAATCCAATGAAATTATCCATGAGAAAATTTGCAATATTACTATATAAGTTAGTGCAATGTGGGAGAAGCTGTTGAAATGATCATTTGTATTTCAAGGTGGTCAAATTTAACTCATTCTTTCTGACAATAAATACTTGTCATTTGAGAGTTGCATTCTGTGAATTAGTGACACAACGACCACATCGCCAGCAAACAGAAGAATGTTCGTATTTTTTTCCCTTCTGAGGATAGTGGTAGCAAATGCACAATGGTAGTGGTGGTGAGGGCGGATTCACCTCACCGTTTGTCAGCTCATGCCCACAACGATATCAGCTGCAACTGCTCCGTTGGTTATAGTACTACGTTTGTGTTTATGATGAGTTGTGCTCTCCCAATTCTCCCACAAAGGTCGAGTGAGAAACATGGAAATTCAGATCTTAGGAAAAATTTTGTTCCATGACTTTGGCACTTTCAGGAGAGCACCATGAATGTATTTAGAACACATTCAGCAGCAGTGGTATTGCCCCAAGGTAGAAAAAATTGATTTGGGGATTGGGGTGGGAAATCTTATTCTTTTTATGTATGACGTATACAGATAGATATTTATTCTTCCTCAAGATAATTATCTATCTAAACATAAATGGATATATAATATATTTGTGGTATTAAAATATAGGTTGTGTTCATGGTTAGGAAAAAGTATCTAAGAGGGCTCCTTAGGGCAATGATAATGGAAAAAGGGCTGAGAAACACTGGTTTAGGATCGAAGAGTTCTGATTTGGGCTTCTGGGGATGGCCCTCTGAGACTTTGCAGTCCCTCCTTTTACCAGGCAGGATGCTTGGTGGTGCGCTGGGTGGCTCCTGGGGGCTCTTTTCTTCTTTCATTTCTGAAGAGTCATCACTGGTTTCTGAAAAAAGAAAAGACATTTCTTTCAGATCTCAGAAAAAGCCTCTGGAAAGCTCCATAGGAGTCTCCTGAAGTCCCAGGAAAGACCTTTTGCGGTGAAGGCTGGAGGTTCCAGGTCTTGCTTGAAAACCCCCATAACCCTTCCTGAGAGTGATTCTACCACTGGGTCCACCTGCCACTGTGGGGAGGAGCAGAGCAAGGCTGGGCAGCAGAGCATCCCCTACCAAGGGAGACGTCTAGTGAGGTGCAGTCGTCTGAGTCCCTGGATCAGAGGCTCAAATTGAAGTTGTGAATCCTTGGGATATCCCAGAAACCCTTTCAGGAGATCTTTGAGGTCAAAATTGGTTCCATACTAAGATGTTCTTTGCCTTTTCACTATGTTGACATGTGCTCACATGGAGCAAAAGTCATGGCAGGTAAAGCTGCTCGTGCCCTAGTACAAATCAAACCAGTGCCCCTAAATCTTATGCAGTCTTCCCTGCCACAGACCATTAAAAATAAAAAAGCCAGTTTCACTTAAGCATATTAAAAAAAAAAAAAGAATGTTCTTGATGAACCAGTTAAAATTATTAACTTTAAATTAACTTTATTAAATTTATTAAATTTCTACCCTTGAGTATAAGTATAAGGATTTTTAAAATTTATTTGAGAGAGAGAGTGAGCGGGAAGGAGAGAGAGAGAATCTGAAGCAGACTCCCCGCTGAGCACAGAGGTGGATGCGGGGCTGGATCACACGACCGCAAGATCACAACCTGAGCTGCAACCAAGAGTCAAGAGTCGGATGCTTAACCGACTGAGCCACCCAGGCGCCCCTGAGTATACATCTTTTTAATAGTCTATGTGGAAAACTGAGGAGTTCATATAAAACTACATCTTGAAGTTCACTGCATCTTGAAGCATGAACGTCTCGAGAAAAATACTTGTGTGATTGAGCTGCAAGCTCACTGTAGAATTCAGTGAACCAGTATTTTCCAAATGTCCAAGATATTATAAAATCCTGCATAAGTAAAAGATCCATTTAAAATACAAGACAGCATAATGCATTGTATTGCAAGAGTATAAAAAGTTAAGTTTTAAAAAAAATTTAAGTTTTATTTTGTTTAAATTCAATTAATTAACATGTAGTGCATTATTAGTTTCAGAGGTGTATAAGAAGTTAGTTGATGTGGTTTCAGATGCTACATCTCAACTAACCTTTATGAAACCATCCCTTCTTGACTTTGGGTGCAATATCAGAGATGAACATACATAGTTTTCTCAAAAAACTGTTAAAATACTCCATCTTTTTAAACTACGGATCCTTGTGAAGCTGGATTATCTTCCTGTCCTTCCACCAAAGCAATGTATCCCAATCAATCAAACACAGAAGCAGCTCTACGAATCCGGCTGTCTCTGATTCAGCTAAACATTAAGAGGTTTGTAAAAATGTAAAATGGTGCCAGTCTTCTCACCAATTTTTGTATTTGGAAAATATATTTGTTTTTCATAAAAATATGTTATTTATGTTAACAGGTAGTTGGTATATTACTGTTACTTTTAAATGAATTTACACAAATATTTTTGAATGATCAGTTTTAATTCCTAATGAAGTACATATAGATAAATATAAACAACAGAAACAAAAGGTCTTTAGGGTCCTCCATAATTTTGAAGAGTGTAAAGAAGTCTTGGGACCAAAAAGTTTGAGAGCTGCTGCCTAAGGTCACAGCTGAGGTCAGCTGTGCCGTGTGGACAGAGCTATTTCTGCACAAAATCTCCTCAGGTGCAATAGATCTTTGTTCCCTCTTGTCACACACAGCTCACCAACTTTCTCGGCACTTCTCCTTCCTTCTACTATTACCTTTACACATCCCTCTAATGCTGTGCCTGCTCTGTGAGAGACGCTCCCACACTGAGCATTCAAATGGAAGATTCTGTCACCAGCCTTACCCTCTGGTCCGGAGGTTTGGGCACATTCGGTGCTTGCCTTTTGGACACTTGTCATGACATTTGACTTCCTGGGTGAATCATCCTTCCTTTGAGTTGCCTGATCCACCACTTGGAGCTTCTCTTGGCTTCTGTGCCGAGGTGAGGTTCTCCCTGGGTCAAATAGTGAATAGTCTGTGAATAGTTTTCATTGGGGTGCCCAGTAAAGCTCCTCCTCCCCCTCCCATGCCCCCAGCCCCCACACTTTGAGATCTCTGTGCTCCTGTGCCTTGTTTTTCTTCTGCTATTTCTCTGTAATTATATATTTTTCTTGTGTGCACCTTTCTTCCTCCATTAGACTCACCATCTGCTCTCACTCCTGTACAACCTGTGGCAATTAACCAGACTCCCAGAGCAGTGGAATTTCTTTCCTGGGCCCTATTGTATGACACCTTCATCCTGGAGGTGGCCACATCCGAGTGAAAATGGCTAAGTGATCCGTTTTGGCACAGGAGGAGTTTCCTGAGGGCCCAGGTGTGAGACAGGAGGGATCTGAGGGTCCCTAGGTGCCTCTAGTGGAGAGAGTGCAAGGTATCAAGGAATTGAGGTGCCTCGTGATAGAGTGAAAGTCTGGAACAGAGAGGATTTGCAAGGGGTTGTCAAGGTTAGGGTTCTCTTTCGCACGGTCCTGGATGCCTTCATTTTGCCAAGGACTTATATTTATATCTTTGGATTTGATTTTTTATTGAGTGCCAGAGTGGCATATTGTGGGGATATTAAACTCCCTTGATTTCTCAGTGCTTCTGTAAAAAGCCCTAGCCTCCAGAGACATGGAAATAAATACAGAATAAAGATAGGGAATGCTTACTTACACTTCCCTGGAAACATTTCACTTTTCACATACCATGAGAATGAGATCTGTAGCTAGTAAACTGCTGTCTGATCTTCTCATCTCCTGAGATTGCCAAATGCCTACAGCAGGGCTAGCTTCCTAGGTTAAGTCCCAAAGTACCAGGATTACTGAAGCCTTCCCTCCATAGGTATTTACACATTAAAAAGGATGAAGCCCAGAACTTGGAGACATCCTTAGTAAAAGCTGAAGACACCTGGGCTTTCTCTGCCTCTTGGAAAGAGGCCTTTAAATTCCAAAAGATTAGGGTGAGGACTCAGGATTGTTTCAATCTTATCTCAAAGCAGCAAAGGTTTTTTTTTTTTTTTTTTTTCTTCTCCTTTCAGGAGGGCAAGAGGATGACTGTCCTTGTCCCGTCCGTAAACAGAAAATCCATCATTCTCTGTCCCTTGTCTATGGGATATCATCTGCCTCTCAGAAAGATTCCATCAGCTCTCTTCTCGTTGCCTATGGGTCTGCGTGTGGGAGGTAGATGCTGCAATGTTACTCTGGCTGTTGAGCTGGCTGTGAATATCAATGAGGAATTCTTTCCCCTGATCCAGGTGCCTGGGTTCCTGCAGTGGTCATAAACATAAAGAATGTGCCTATATGCCTATAGGGCAGACCTTTCACAGTTTTTGACAAAGCACTTACCATGGCACATGGGCATAGACAGCTAGCACAAATCTTGAAATCGGCAGGTCAAAAATTGAAAATTCTAAAATTTCTCCCCCTTCTCAGACCCTTCACAGTTTTTGACAAAGCACTTACCATGGCACATGGGCATAGACAGCTAGCACAAATCTTGAAATCGGCAGGTCAAAAATTGAAAATTCTAAAATTTCTCCCCCAATTATTTGCATCTTCTCTAAGCAACACATGCCACCATTCACCTGGCCATTCAAGCCAGACACTGAAGAGCGAGCCTTGCTGTCTCTCTCTTCCCCAACTTCCAATTCATCAAGGTCCATCAACTCTACCTCCAAGTTGGTCTTGAACTGGCTCTCCTCTCTCCATCTCCACTGCCAGACCTGAATGCAGAGTTCTATTGACTTACATGACATCTGCCTTCTCCCCCGCAAATGGTTGCCCTGCTTCCATTCTTTTCTGTTTCCAATTCATGCTTTACACAACCCCAAAATTGTTCTTGTCAAACATAAAATGGGATCATGTCACTTCATTGATTAGATCTCTTCAATGTCTCCTCATTTCATTAGAATAAAATTCAACTTCCCACACCTTGACCCACAAGCATGAGCTATCTGCAGCCTCTGACCTCTTCTTATTCTCTCATCTTACCTTTTGGGAGGCTTTTTTTCTGACGTCTCTTTTTTGGAGTTGACCAGATACTTCTTTTTCTTTTCTTTCCTAAACAGAAAAGGTGCAGATCATTTTTCCATGGCCACAAACATAGACCTGCTAACTTTACGTGTCAACAGGTCTCAGCTTGAACTTTCGGTCTTCAAACCATAGTGGTGAGGAGGTCATTGGTGACCTTACTTGATGCTGCTTCATGGAGTAATGAGGGAGAAGATGAGTGACATGAAGAGATGGGGACACTGAGTTTAGCTAAATCATTTCTAGCGGTTTGGTTGTGAAATGGAGGAGAGAGCTATGGAAACAGGTGAGGTGAGCTGAGGATCAAGAGGAAGCTCTTTTTATGAGCTATGATAAACTTGGGCAGTGGCTGAATGCAGATCCTATGACAGGGAGATGCTGAATTCTCAGGAGAAAGAAGGGATCATGGACCCCAACAGGCAAGGTGGAATGATTGCTGTAGAGAGAAAGAGGGAACAAGAGAGGAGGGGACAGATGCAGTTAGAGTTTGCTGGTTGGTAGCAGGAACTGAGGAGATTCCTATCTGATGCCTTTCCATGAAGTAGGAGGAAAAGTAATCTGCTTAAGAAAAAGGAGGTGGTGAGGGGGTAGGCACTTTGAAGAAAAAGCTCAGTATTGGAAAGGATCATTGCAAGAAGTGGAATTGTCATGCAGCGTGGGAGGATCATTGACGCTGGACTCATGAAGACACAGCCCGTGTGCTCTGCCCCACTGTGTGGCTCTCCCCAGAGGTGTCTGCCTTCAGACACAGTGTGCAGAAAGCAGATAATGGGTCCCTCCAAGAACTGCCAGAGGGTTCTGGGAAAAGACCGAGAGAGGCAAGGCAGATTAAGATATCAGCAAAAAGGTTACTGAAGCCATGGTTTGTGCACTCTAACCTGGTATGAAGGGGCGTGAAGAGAGGCATAAGATGAACCCGAAAAGAGATAGGCCAGCGGACTGGCCATCCAAGTGAGGTTGAAGGAAAGCTCCAGAGGGAACAAATTGTAAGGAAGAAATCAGGCAGGGATACTTTCAAATTAATTTTTTAAACGATTTTATTTATTTATTTGAGAGAGAGAACACACATGTGTGAGCTGGGAGAGGACCAGAGAGAGAGGGACAAGCAGACTCTGCACTGAGTGTGGAGCCCGACATGGGCCTTGATCCCACAACCCTAAGATCATGCCCTGAGTCAAAATTCAAGAGTTGGAGGCTTAACTGACTGAGCCACCCAGGCGCTCCTTGAATTATTTTTTAAGATTGGGCTGGGGAGGAGAGCTCAGAGATTGAACAATGGCTGTAGAAGGAGCACACTTCAAGGATTAGATGTCAAAAAAGAGAATTCTGAAATTAATTATTGGGAGGTCGAGCCAGGCTTCAATGATGAGAATGCCGATCGGTTGCCTTTGGGTGCAGGAGGCCAAGAATCAGTGCAGAAAAATATCACTGGAAAAGAGCCAAAGAAGGATCTAAGGGGCCTCTTATCCCTGTGTACCTTTAAGGTGTCCAGGATGGTGGCAGGACTTGAACTGACAGAAAAATTCTAAGTCAGCCTTTGAGGTGTGCTGAGGACTTGGAGGCAAATCAAGGATGATAGTGATGAAGAGCGACGGAACTGTTCATTTGAATGGTTAAGCCTTAAAGTAGAGGATGGAAGAGGAAGGGGTTGGCCAGGGATGGGGGGTAGCAAGCAGTGGGCATCTACCCTGCCTTCCACCATGAGTGATAGCAGGGAGTATGCAGCCCTGTCTTAAAAGAAAGCAGTGGGTCCTCTTGGGGGAACCCATTTTCAGTTAAAGAGGGAGGTACAACTAACCCTCTAAGAAGTTGTGGGTAAAGGAGACCTTGATGATTTCAGAGCAGGTGATTGCAATGGGTACATATTTCAATGGCCTTCAATGCCTTCCGGCTTCCCTACAATCTTCATGAAGGCTTTCAAGGAAGATGCAGTGAATGGGAGAAACAAGCTGTAATGAGCATCATAAGAACAATCACATGGTGGGTGCTTCTGACCACATAGGATCTGAAAAGCAGAAAGCAGCTCCAAATGCATGCTCCCGACATCTACAGGAGAAAGTCAACCTTTCCTTACCTTTCTTGTTGGGAGGTGTGCTGGATGCCTCCTGGAGCTCTTTGGGGTCATTTGGTTCAGGAGAGTCATCTGTTATCACTAACAAAGGAAAGAGATTTCGGTTCAGAGCTTGGAACAGGCTGGAGGAAAAGTCCTAAGGGAGCTGAGGGCAGAGCAGGAGGGTGCAAAGCGCGTGTCACCCAGGGCGGGGGTCTGCCAGCCCTCGGGCTCCCTGGCTCTGCCTTGATTTGATCAGTCTGTGGTTGGAGTTACCTGAGTGGCCATCCCCGTGCAGCAGGGAACAATTGCCCCACAGAGGAGGGCTCAGTTTGACCCGTTTCGAGAGGCTCCCCTTACATAGTAGAAGAGAGGAACACGGGCTATCAGCCACCCTCACGCAAGGAATGAGGCTGCGAGTAGGGTGAGTGCTGACCTTGACTTCTGGTGGCTTCAGTGAAGGGGAATGTCTTCGCCATAGGAAAAATACATGTTATTGCTTAGAGGTCTGTGAATGGATATTTTTGAACCGCTCTCTTTGTCATTATTTCACCTTGAAAAATGGTGAAGGAAGCTAAGTGCCTTATATATTTCTGTGTACAAGGACCAAGAAAGTGGGAGCTAGCCTCGACTTGGCTAGCACGTGTTAATCGCAAATAAATACAAAGGTCTAGTTTTTGCTGCACAAGGAAGACAGAAGGGGCTGGAAGCCATAATAAATCTCAAGTAAGACTGCCAACTTCCCCTTGTTTACATGGTACTATGAGATCAATCTCAAATTTTGGCCTGCTTAAGAATAGGTCATTGAGGCAGATGGCAAGCAGTCATGAGACATTTTAAATAATTTGTTGCATTTCAAATTATTTTAATCCTATCAACTCTTAAAAATCGAAACGATATAGAAATGACTAGGCTTGAAGGTGAAACTTCCCCACAGTCAGGGTGGGGGCTGGGAAAAAGAACCATCCACACCTGGGCCACACAGTGTTTTTGTTTGCTTCGCATTTGGATGGAGCAGTTTTGAGCTTTACCTTATTGCAGGGACCTCAAAGCATGGGTGAGTTACACAGTTCTGCTCTGACTCAGTCCCCTGTCCTTTCCCCAGGGTTCCTGCCACCAGCCTTAGCAGACCTTCTAGTGATGTTTGCAGCACGAAGATGGTTGTCCAGGGTGGTGAGGAGACCCCTGTCTCAAGAAGATCCGAATGGCCTCTCCTCTTGGTAGACATGGAAAGTAAGGCAAGCTAAAGTTGTCTACATCAAAATTACCCGGCATGGGGCCTGGTGGGACATCTCTTGAGCATTTCGTTATCTCTTATCTGGGGGCTCAGGTTGTTACCGGACACTGAGCAGAGGAAGAAGAGGAATTTCAGGTCCCAGGACCAATGAACAGGGACCAGAGGGGGAGGAACAACACCAATCTATTCCAGCCAGTAAAAACAATGGGGCCAACCGAACACCAAGGCCAGGCAAGGGTGGGATAGAGGGGGAGAGTCAGCCATCATTTCCTTTCAACTAGCTGCTTACTAATTTTTTTCTACTTTATTATTATTTTTTAAATTTTAATTCTAATGTAGTTACCATACAGCGTTATATTACTTTCAGGTGTAGGATACAGTGATTCATTACTTACTAATTTAACAAATTATTTCTTTCTTTTGGTAACCTAGAAGATGGAATCTTCCATTGTTATTGGCTTCATGATTATGTTATTTGGATGGTGTGTATTAGAGGAGTGAAGGAAACATTTGGACCAAATGGGGCCCTTTATGTTCAGTATTGGAGAATCCACGATACCATTTTTGACAGAGCCCGATAATACTCCATGGTTATATTTAATGTAATCAAAGTCCTTAATAATGATGGTTGGGAGAGATAAGAAACACAATTTTGGAAGCTAAATCTTTCAATGTTCTAGCAGATCTTTCAATCAGCAGAGCCTTCAACGTTTTATCATCTTTTCTAATAATTTCAATAACATTACTCTTAGAGTCCAAACTACATAAAAATGAATATGATTGAAAGGCCCCTGTAATCAGAGGGTGAGTGATTGAGTAAGGGTCACAGAGGGATGTATTGCACAAGTTACATGTCAGTTCAGAACACTGTTATTAGTTGGACATCACGGCATCAAACTGGCTGTGGAGACATCCCTGACAAGTAGTCCTGTGCTGAGCTGGGGCATCAATCTGCCTGTTTCTTTTTCTTTGTCACACCCGGTTCTTTTCCCTTAGGCTTCTGTCACAAGCCTCTGGGTTGGCAGGTGCATGTTTGCCCCTCATACCCACTCTGAACTAAACTAAGTCAGCCCCAAGCAATATTACCTTGCACAGTGTCGGGAGGAGTGCCAGCCATCTCTTGTGAGTCTTCTTCACCATTTATTTGGGATGTTAAGTTGTCATTGGGCATTGAAGAGAGGAAGAAAAATCATTACAGGGTACAGAGACAGAGTGTCAGGGAGGAAAGCAAATGGTAAAAACACCCAAGACAGAAGCCCCAATGCCCAGGGCAAGAGTTGGCCTGCTCCAGGGGTGGGGAGCTGGTGTTTGGGCTCTAGGCTTTCCCCAAGGCCCTGGCAGTGCCCATAGTCCTTCTCGGAGAAGGCTGAGTGGGGTAGGTAGGCACATGGGATGGACCAGATTAACAAAAAGGTGGGACCCTGGGCTTCTAGACCTGACCACAGGTACCCTCGGCTGGGGAGGCACGGGTGTCGGACAAAGTCTTCCCCTCACCTGGAGTGATCCTTCCTTCCTGGGTGGTTCTGGGGAGAGCCACGGCGGGGTCAGAAGGGCTGGATGTTTCGCCCGGGATCTCAGCGCTGTGCTGTGTGGGTGCGCTGGGCTCAGTGACACTGGGAGCATGGGGTGAGTGGCTCTGGGGGGGGGACAGCAGCAGCAGCGTCTGGACAGAGCGCCCTTCTGCTGGGTTGGCTGGAGTTTCGAGGAGGGTCAGTGCAGCTCTGTTCCATCCTCCGTAGGAACTGACAACTGGGATTGGTGAAGGAATATACATCAACACCCTGGCTACTCAGAATGATTAGGGAATTTCTTTGTACAAGACTTCCGGAGGGTTGGGGGCATGGAGTGATTCATCGTCCTCCAAGTGTGGAGAACTGATTCATCAGCAGCATCAACTGTTTGTGGCCCCTTCCTATTCTATGTGTTTGATTTGGGCATTAGACCTCTGGTCTAATACTAAAGTCGTCTCACACATAAAGCTGAGTTTGACTTTGTACTCAGGGATTTAATTTTCTTTAGTTTTTCTTTAGTTTTGGTTTCAGAATTGAGACAACTTTGTATAGTGTTATAATTTTAATACATGTCCCTGTTTTAATAAATAAACACATCACACCCCCTGCAGCAAATAAGATAAAATGTAAATTCCTTCACATGGTGCATCCTTTCTACTCTGGTTTCTGCTCATTTCTGCAGAATGGGCTTCTGTGCTTCCCTGCCTCACACCCTATGATGGGCCACACCAACCTTCCTCCCCATCCTCAATACTCCAGGCCCTTGGCTTTCTGCATGCGATTCCTCCCATGGCCAGGTTTCTCTTAGGATTCTTTTCCATCATTTATTTCAGGAGTTGAGTTGTCTCAACCAGTGAACAGAAAAAGGAATTAAGGTAGGATTTTGAAGGGCCTAGAACAAAAGCACAGATTTGCAGATCCCGAAAGACGCATGAGCTCGGCGAGGTTGGGGGGCACCGCAGTGTGTGGTGCCTCGGGCTCTCAGACTGACTTAGCGTGGCTTCTGAGAACCCAGTCCTCCCTGTGCTGCCCTGATGCTGCCCAGAGCACGGGCTCAAGTGCACTATGCCGGCCGGGAGGGGCGCTTTTCTCTTTCCTTGCCCCTTTAGCTCAGGGAGGCATTTCTCCTTTGGGGGAGGAACTTCTTGCGGTCAACAGTGGCTACCCCACTAACAAAATGTCACAATGCAGTGTGATCTGCTGCTGGTCCTCTTCCTGTTGTTCTCAGCTAAGTGAACCATGCGCTTTGGCCAAACTGTTTGTCCTTAAACCTAAAATGATCATGTCACCTCTTCCTCTTTCCCTGGCTTCTTCCTTCCCAGCTCTGTCCTTGCTCTTTCTCCTGCTCTTTATTCATCCAGCTCGTACTCGTTCCCAGTGTGCATCACATTCTGCTTCCTTCTTCTACCCTCTCTCTGTCTTCAGCTCCCTCTCCTCTCTCCTCCAGCTTCACACTCTGCCTTCCACCTGTCCTTGTTTAAAAGAGGGATTGAAATCTCAGGCCCTGGTGCTAGGAAACCCAAGTAGGACAGCTGGCTCTGCTCTTAGCAGACAAGTAACTTTGGGAAAGTTATTCTGAGCTTTAATTTCTTCGTATGTCAGATGGGGATAATAACGACTTCACAGGATTGTTTTAAAGATGATATGAGATAATCATATAAAGAAAGTGCTTGGGACGATGCCTGGTACATAGTAAGTACTAAAAAAAAAAAAAAAAAAAGATACTTATTGCCCATCCGTATTCATTTCTTTTCCCCTCTGGTTCTCCTTATCCTTCTGCCAGACTGAGTCTCTGCAACTGCATTTCCCTAGAGACTGTCCAGTGGGGTACACTGGACAACTTTCCCCCCACTTCATAGAATAGGTAAGACAGAAATGTGTCCTCTAGAAATTCATCTTAGAGAGCTGGAGCCAGAGGCAGCTCGTCCTGGCACACTGGTAAGTACACTCCCTATCTCCCCAGAGAACCCGGCACTCAAGTGCATAATTCCACGGGGCTGAAAGCCAACCCAAACTTTGAGGGTAGCAGCTTCTGGCATGCTTTTACAGCCCAAGGATATTCAAGAAGCCTCGTACCACTTCTGAAGCCCTTGAGAATCATCGTCAGGTTGGGGTATTCACGCAGGTTAATTCGGCTGAACAGCATCTCCAGAAATGACAGATTGGAGGTCTTTTCCAGGTGAGTGAGGATGTTGTACACCACTCTGGGTACAGGGACATGATTTCTACAAGCTTCCATGGATTCCTTAAAAAATGGAATCGAGGATTATTATAAATGATTATAAAATGGAATGGACGTTTATTATACATTTGTGGTTTTCTAAGTCATAGGAATGGTATTTTGTTCTGTTAAGAAGGAATTTAACACAAATGTACAAACTCTAACGTAGAAAAGTCACAGTTCCACGTGTTTACTTTTAGAACTTCACATATATTTGGATTGTTAGTCATAGGAATAAATAACTTAGCCTTCTTTAAAATAAGTCTGCTTTGTGAACCTTATTTTAGGTACATTTGAAGGAAGAGAGAAATTTTAGGGAAGGAAAAGGGGAGTCAAAGGTTTTTACTGTGTAATTAATTCTCTAAGGCTCTGGGCAGAACTCTGTGGCAATGGGCCAAGGAGTTGGTCACAAGTGGCAATTCTGCAATTGCTTGTTAGCCTCTGCTCTCTCTCTCGGACTTGGGATGGCCTGAATGGGTTCTAGCCACAGGGAAATCATCCAGCGAACTCCTCTTCATGAAAGGCTGGCCAAAAGGAGAAACATGGCAGGAGAGGATTGACTGCATAACACTTCCTGAGCACCTACTAGGCTAGTCCTTGCGTACGTAGCAATGGATAAGATCACCATGGTGTTACCCATATTGAAGGAGGGACTCTGTCAGGTGCAGAAGATAGGCATTAAATAATAAGCAAATTAAAGAAATGCCCAGTTGCTATGGAGAGAAGTGTTATGAAGGGAAAGCATAGATTTCTCTGAGAAATCAGTTAGATGAGTGGGTTAAGGAAGCCTCTCTGAGTAGTGACATCTGGGCTGTGACGTGAAGAGGGGTTGGAGCCAACCAGGCCGAGACTGGGAGAAGATCGTTCAACCACTGCTGCGCTTCTCTGGGCCTGGGACTCAAAAAATGCATTAAAAACCCCCAAATTATAAAAGAATGCCATTTTTGTCCACACAGCCATATCTTCCAGTGCCTGCCTTGCTTCACATCTGAATGGACTGTGTGCAACAAATTCTTGGGAATTGGGAGTGTACCCTTAGTGGGTTGAATGGTGTCACCCCTCCAAAAAGATATGTCCACTTGACCCCTGTGAATGTGACCTCATTTGGAAAAAGGGGACATTGGAAAAACTACATTTGCAGATGTAATTAAGTTAGGCTCTTGAGATGCCATTACCCTGGATTAAGGTGGGCTCTAAATCCCAATGACCAGTGTCCTTATAAAAGAAGAGAAGGAGAAAAGACAAGGAAAGGAAAAGGTGATGTCGAGATTGATGTGGAGATTGAAACAGCGATCGTAAGTGATTTTTCTACAAGCCCAGGACCACAAAGTGTTGCTGGTACCACCAGAAGTTAGGAGAGTCAGGGAACGGATTCTCCCTCAGAGCCTCGAGAAGGAACCTTGATTTTGTACTTCTGGCTTTGAAAACTGTGAGACAATACATTTCTCTTGTTTTAAGCCACTGGGGTTGAGGTCATTTGTATGGCAGCCCCTGTGACCCCGTCTTCCCCTGAAAATGAACCTTTGGGACTAGGCCTTCCGAGCTCCAGAAGCCCTGGGGCTTGGGGTGTGAAACTTCAGTGATGGGGACTTCTTGGTGGGGGCTGGGCTGCCATGGGAAAGTGGGCAGCGCTACTCACCCGGTATATTGTCTCTGTGATGAAGGAGCTGTCTCGGAGGCCTTCGAGGAAGGGAAATGGCTTGTATATGGCATAAGCAATCTCCAGCTTCTGGTATACGAAGTGCTGGAGAAGAGCCTCTTCTAAGGCCCTGGTCATGGTGAACATCCTATGAAAGAGGCATGAGAGGAGAGGAAAGACTCCAGGAACTCGGGGAGCTGCTCTTTGCGCTCAGTGGGCATCTTCAGACCAGCATCCTGGTACCAAAGGTAGTAGCCCTTGGTAGTCTGCAAAGCAACTCTGCCTCAAAGCGTCGTGGGCATAAGAAGCAATGACCATGCCCAGTGACCACGGAGGCAGAAAGTAACCTAAAAGATGATGCTGAAATCCCAAAGGGGCTGCTGGTAAACGTAAGACAGATAGTCAAAATAGCTAGTATCTATTGAGTACTTCCTATGTGCCGGGCTTTGTTCTAAGGGTTTCACATGCAGCAACTTATTTGATCTTCACAAAACGCTTGCAAGAGGGTTACTATGATTTTACCCATTATATTGTGAAGGACCCCGAGACATAGAGTTGTTTACTAAGTTGCCCTAAATCGCACGACTTGGAAGTGGTAGAGGTAAACAAATTCCAACTTTCTGCTTCTAGGTTTATGGTCCTAAGTTCTATGGTCCATGGCTATGTTGAACGGAGTTAAGATTGCCTGGGCGGCAGCTTAACGCAAACGCTAGCAAAGCTTGTAAAAAGGGACCACCCAATAATGAGTAGAAAGATGAAAACCTGATAATATTTAGAAAATTTAGTAACCCACCTACAATCTTTGACACACAAGCAGGCCAAACATAAGCAGACATGAAAGATGTGAAAGACATGATTAGTAAAAGCAAAGTAACTAAATTATTATATGTATCAATTTCATATCTCAGAACAGACATGCACCTTTACCACGCCCATGCAACATTTATAAAAATTAACCACTGATAGACCAGGAGAAAATATCCATGTTATAATAGGCAGAAAACACACAGATAACATTCCTGACAAATTGTCAAGAAAAGAGTACTAACAAAAAGTTCAACCATCCAGAGATATTTTTTTAAACAAAACAGAGATCCCATCTTTCCAATTTCATTTTGTGTATGACTGAAAATTAAACTATAAGTAATGACTGTTTCCAGGATTAATCCCAGTGGTAGACTGAGCAGCCCTGCTCTCTCTACTCATTCCCACATCCTTTAAGTTTGACAGAAAAAAAGAAACATATTGTAAAAATAGAATAATCCATAACTTTACTGGAAAAGAAAAGATGTCATAAGAGGTCCATAATCGTGAAGAAATCCTGGAAGATTGAGAACAGGTGGAAGGGAAATCTAGCATCCATGATATAGACAGAATCCATCATACGGGGAAGAATACTGCAAAGATCAGCACAGAGCCAGAGAAAGCCAGTATGAACAGGTGGTAAGAAGAGCAAGTGGCCGTGGGGTTACATTTAGGATGATTAATTATACTACAGCATTCAGAACATAATATCCACCAGGTTCCTTATCCTTCATCTGTTATAATTCTCAAGAATGAAAGCAAGGCACAGAGAGGTTAAGTAACTAGCCCAAGGTTGGCAAAGCAGAGCTTGTCTGACTAAAGCCCCATTTTTCACTAGTGCATGATACTGGGTCTCATATGCTAGTGTTCAGACTTTTATCATGTAAAAGGAGTCTTAAAAACGAATAAACAAAAGACAAACATCCATGTAGAAAAAAAAGCAAAACACAGATAGGCAATTAAGTCCAGTGTGCAATAAATGTATAGAAAACATGGCAATTCACTAGTAGTTGGGACGGTACAAAAGAAGACAACTTAATAATGTTTGCCTATCAAAATGTCCCACATAGAGAATAAAAGCAATAATCACAGATGCTTCTGGTGAAAATGTAAAAAGGTCCAAATGTTCTGGAGGCTAATTTAGCAATCAGGGTCAGATGCTCTAAAGTACATATTCCCTTGAGTCCCAAAGTCCACTTCCAGGAATTTATTTCAAGGAAGCAATCGTACACGTGCTTCAAAATATATACATAAAAAGTTCATGAAACACTGGAGAGGAAATTAAATGTTCTCTCCTTTTTGTCTCTTTCCCACCAACCACCTCTAGTCACTTGCACAATGGATAATAAACGAGTTGCCCATTTGGGGCAGAGTGCAAATCACAAAGCACAGAAGAGAAGAGCAGAGAGCAAATCTTGGTTCCATCCACAACAACAGGCTAGAATTTAGGGAAAGAAGAACTGAGCTGTGTCTCTGCTCCCCCACCACTCCCACGTCTGTCCCCCTTTTTTGGAGTCTCTGGTTAAATCCCACATTGCTCTCTATCTTTGGAAGACAATATTTTACAAAGAGAGAGGCTCACAATTTCAATAGTTGGGTTCCACCCTGTAGCTGCTGCCAGGAAATCAGCTATCAGAGCCCAATCAGCAAAAAGAAAGAATAAAGCAGCTGAGACAAAAACCCACCTGGATGCTGGGTCAGCCACCTGCTCCTGCCCCTTTCCCGGTCCAGGGGCTGGGCCAGGGATCACTCCCGGAAGACTGAGAGAACAGCAGGGAGATGCCAGTGGGTGAAACAGGAAGTCTGTGCTTTGCCACATGCAGAGAGGGCCAGGCTTCCGGAGAAAAGAAAAGTGAAAGTATTTGGAGCAGATCGTGCAGGAAGCTGAAGACAGTGCCTGCTGCCTCCCTCCATCTCCATCTCCGTCCAGACACTTGTGAGGTTCCCGGGGCATTTGGGGGAGGTGGAGGGTGGTGCCTTCTGGACCAGCCTGGGGAGGGGTGTGCAGAGGGGAGGAGGCAGAGGGGTCCAGCCCCAGGGGCCACGGGAGGGAAATGGGAATCTACCATCTATATGCTTCCCTACCCACTTCTATTTCCCCAGGACTTGTTCTTCTTCTGTACTTTTGGGGGGATGAAAATGTTCCCACACTGAAGTGGGGTGATGGTTATACAACTGAGTAAATTTACTAGAAATCATCAAACTTTAAAAAACAAACAAAAACCAAAGGGGAGGGGAGGTGACTCAGAAATGCCCATAATTTGTCAGGATAAAATTATTGCCTAAGAAAGTTGAGATAAAAGGGAACCTGAATTTAATCTGAAATCACGTAGAGGTAGGCAGATCTCTGGGCAGGAAAGCGATCAGGGGCCAGGCAGGCATTTGGGAGCCGGGGATGTGAGGAAGTCAGGTCTAAGGCAGAGCTGGGGCCAGGAGAAGACTCGAGAACAGCCACTTGCAGGATACCCCCTCCACACACCCTTTAAAAATTCCTTATGTACATTGGCATGGAAGGTCTGTGAGAACACAGAAATCCGTTTAACGTTATTTAAATCAGTAATTCTCAAATGTGTTCTACCCATGAGTTCCCCTTACCGGGACGCCCATGCTTTTTCCTTAGGGAAAAAAAAGATGGGAGAAAGGATTCTGGGGTCTAAGAAGCCTTGAAGCCAAGGCTCACGTGCTCAAGGGAGAGCCCTTCCATGCTTGCTATGGAGGCACCAGGACACCTGAGTATTTTCTAGAGCAACAGGCTCAGCCCTGGTGTGGAAGGTCACCACTGTAAGAATGACAGACGCAGAGGAGCCTCAGGAAGCCCATGGTAATGGAGGGAGGCCCAGGACACAACGTGACACTCCCAGCCGAGGAGAGGGTTCTGTGGTGCTCGGTAGCACATAGCACTGTGCGGTGCAGGGACGTGGGCAGCGAGAGGGATTCAGACCATTTTGTACAATTGTCACACTTCATTTACCTGAAGCCCTCCACTTACCCTGGAAGACCCCCTCATGGACACTGGACATCCCAGCCTGGAACCAAGAATCTCCTCCTTTAGACCTGCCCAAAGATAGATTAGGCAAAGACACCAAAAAAAAAAAAAAAAAAAAAAAAGCAGGGGTGGAAACATAATGCCAGATCGGACAGAAATGATTAAACTAGAAAAAGATGTGAATAAAGATAAAAGATGTTTCTATCTCAGCCACGCATGCTTGAGAATACAGTAATAATGGGAAAACTTCCGCTGTTTATTTCAATGACACATGTACTGAGAATTTACTAAAATTAGGTATAATTCCTTTTTAGCTCAATTTTATTGAGGTATAAAATGCATTCATCTTAAAGTGTACATTTAACTCGATGAGTTTTAACAAATGTAATCAAATTACAGTTAAGATATAGATCATTTCCATCATTCCAGAAAGTTCCCTCGTACCCTTTGCAGATAGCCTCCTCCCCAACCCCAGCATCAGGCAACCATGATGTGCCTCCTTTCTTGTTACTGGTATCAAAGTTTTACATAAATGAAAACATACAGTAGGTGCATTTTGATGTGTGGCTTCTTGGGGTCGTCATAATGCTCTTGAGATTCACCTCTGTTGTTGAGGGTCAATAATTTATTCCTCTTTAGCCGGTGTGCTGGCCAGCTCTTGTTCATCCTGTCCAATCACCATGATGTCACCAATGTAATTGATCAGTGTGATGTTCTATGGGATGTCCAGGTGATCCAGATCTCTACAGACTATATTATGACAAAGGGCAGGTAAGTTAATATAACCCCAAGACAAGACTGTAAATGAATGTGCCTATCTGTCATGCAGGAACTAAAACTCTTTCTGATCCTCCTTTCCAACGGAAAGAACACATTTGCCAAATCAATGGCCACATACTGTGTATGTGAGGTCCGTGGAATGACCTGGGCTGGGGGTCTTACTGCCCAGACTGCTTATTTTCTTATCCCAGTCTTTGGCCATCCTGTAAATTCTGAGAGTTACCCAATATATGTCTAAGAAATTGATTTTTCTGCCTGAGTTAGTCAGTGTCAATTTTGATCACTTAAACCCCAAAACTTCAACTGATTAAAAGTTGGTACCAGAGAATGAATTGTGGGCAATGAATCTGCACAGAAATATGCTCAAACTGAGTTTGGTTATCTGACCTACCTGCACATAAACGTAGTGGACATCCCATTCATGTTCAAAGATGGGAGTTTGGTAGACTTTGGCAAACAGGGGCAAAGTAACACATTAACTTCTAGCACTGGATTGTGGTTAGGACTCTACATTTCACTCCCAGATTCCAAGTGCCAGATCTTAGCACACTTAGCAAAATGGAGAGGAATTTTCCAGGTAGAAAGAAAGCATTGACTGGCCTTCAGAGATTCCCACCTCCTTGGCCTAAATCTGGGTGGGAAAACAGAGACAGGACGGAGGCCAGAATCTTCTTATCCCATGGGCCATACGGAAGAAAAAGAAAAAGAAAACTCTGCCCCTGTGTTAGGAACCAGCAACTATCTGATGGGCATAGATGGTCTTGGTCCAGGATCTGTTATCTCAGGGAGATTGGTTCTCTAGCGAACATAGAGAAAAACAAGACATGTGGGAGATACAAGCTAAAATTCCAGCCTATTGTTATCTGGGCTAATGCATGATATTGCAAACTAGGGCTTTCTTGTAAACTTGACGGGACTTCCCCTGAGGAACGCCAAAGACCTTGTGCTTCCAAGCAAAAGAAGCTGGCACATTTATGTCATTGTCCCGCTGAGTGGTGGCCTGGGTCTGCCTGCTGCTTAAGGGCAGGAAGAGGAGAGAGAGAGGAGACACCACAACAGGTTCTTGTAGTCTGTGCCAGGCCTTATCCGGGCCACTGTGCCCCATGAAGAGGACAGCCATGCCCAACAGAGGCTCAGCTTCACAGCCCATTTACCCCACAACGTGAGAGAGGGAGAGACAAAGGACGGGCAGTGGGTGGTGACAGGCAGTCCCAGGTGTGCGAAGCACCTGGTAGACACGCAGACCCCACCCACTGGGAAGATGTCCTCATCAATATCCCCAAATCTGGAATCTGTCCCAGCCAGATGGATGTTCACTTCTTTGGAGGAAAGAAAGAGCAGAAGTGGGCAGAAGGGTAGAAATCTCTGGCCCTCTATACTTGGCAAACAGATTTGTGCAAATTTCTAGCACATCTATAATGAGCCAGACGAAGCAGGATTCGGTGGAATATACTTTGGAAACATCCTGCTTTGCTTCTGGTTCCCCAGACCTCGCCTGCTTTGGCCATTGCTCTGAGCGAGGCCCTGGATTCTGCAGATGCCCTGGCTCTCATTTGCCTATCTTGGATCCACTGTCCTACCTGGATTTCTAGTCCTCCAGTTTTGTTTATTTTATTTGCGCTTTGCTCCCGTTTCTTTTTCTTCCAACTTTATGCTGATACGGTGTGTTCTTGTAAGTTGCTTTAAACCCTTTACAGAATGAAGGCCGGCTATGTGTGAAAAAAATTCTGTACAAACATAAATGTGATGTACTTGGTAGCTAGCATCCCATTGTCCTTTGAGGTCTAGGCAATGTCAGTTCCAAACCCTTTCCCCATCCCATGGGAAGCCTGTCACCCTGATTTCAGGGACGAGTTGAAGCTCAGTTTTTTCTAATTACTCTGGCTGCATTTGTAAAGTGCCCATGAATTCAAGAAAACTTAGAATGGCACACCAAGCCTCTCTGGTCAAACTTGGCACTTCCCTCGGGTTTCAGGAGTGGGGAGTTTTCTCAGGCCTTTGGCTGCTTTCCAGCAATTTGAGGAACATCTTCCCCACCTCATAAGGCTGAGTACTTCAGCTCTGCTCAGCCCTGTGTCCAGTCCAGGCTGGGTACTGTGCCCGGCCGGACCTGAAATGTCTGGCTTTCTTTCTTTCCTTCTCACAACCACCTGAGCAGAGAGAGGCGGGGCAAACCTGGGGTTCACTTCCTGCCCCCCTACACTCTGCCCCCTCACCGCGAGGCAACCTGGATCCATTTGAGTGAAATCAACCTTTCTGCACTCTTTCCTTTGCACGAACAGTGCCTTGTCTGCCGTGGAGACTGAGGTGGCCCTGCTCCTCCTCCCCGGGGCTGAGAACCGCCTGAGAGATTGGGCACAGGGCAACCTCGTGTTGGTACAACCACACCACGCTGTTCAGCGATTTCACTTTTACCCTTCGGGTGCCACCCAGGACACATCGACCAACTGGTAGACTTTCACCTCAGAGCTCCGGGGAGGCACAAAGGCAGTAAACGTCCGCTCAAGGTTGACCCCGGGCCAGCTCCATGACCCCGTGGGGCTGGCAGTGGCAGATGGTGGGTGGAGGCAGCCAGCTGAGCCACAGGTCGGTCCTCACTTCCTGTCCTTGATCCCCAGGTTGGCGTCTACGCTGGTTATTTCTGTCTTCCCAGACTCATTCCACAGGTATATGACAGAACAAGATTACACATAAATAAATACTGGGGAAATCAGATTTCTTAAATCACAGCAGATTAGCAGCCAGGGAAACTTGGAGCCGTGTTGACTCACGTCCTTTTCTTATTTCCTTGCAAAAGCCCTGCAGATGGACTGGCATGGGCACAACTCCCTGGTTCTCTCGAGGCCTCGCTGCAGGGTTCCATGATTCCCAGGCCCTACGGATCCTCTCATTCCCCCCACGCCTCCTTTCTCCCTACGCCAGCCCCCAAAAGACAACTCTGCCCAGAAAAGTTTCTTTTAGAAAAAGTAACGTTGAAATTGGATGCCTGTTGTCAAACTTCTGGTTTCTGGGCAGCTGGGGGTTAGTTCTGCTCAGAGCTCATCTAAGCAGGGCATCTGAACACCACCGAGTTACAGG